TGTCTAGGATCAGGATTTTCCCGATTCTATCAGGATTTGAGGTGAATCAGGATTTGAGGTGAATCAGGATTTGAGGAAAAATCGGTCGTAAAATTAGGACTTGAGGAAAGTCGGCCGTCCTATATGAATTTTTCATCGAACTATTTTCCGTGAAGTTACAATCGCCAATTTTTCTCCCACTTTTTCTCCGCAAAAAATCAGGTTTTGGAAAAATTATGCAATCAGAATTTGGCATTCAAAAATCAGGAATAATCAGAATTTCCCAAAATGAAAACACTATACACCCTGTTAAATATACTTGGGACGATTTTGGACCGCACTTAAGTCCGCTCAGCGCTTCTGATTGGCCGATAGTGCAGTTTTGCAGTTTGGACTCATCATCGATGAATGTTGCGTCTCCGCGTAAAATAGCCGACAAACGGCCCAGCTTAAATTTGACAGCGGCGGTCTGCGCGGGATCCGATTGCGCAACTCTCGGAGTGATTATACGCCAACTAATGGGCGCCGAGGCCGGAATCAGTGGCAGAATCAGCCGGGCCCGGCATCGCATCATCGTTCATCGGCGGGAGGCAGCCCGGTCTCGCCGTCTCCAACGCTTGGCGGACTCCCGTCGCTCGTGATGAGCCTCATTTGAATCCGGGATTGTTTCCGCCAACCGCACCGTCATCGCCGCGCTCCCAGCCCCGAGCCGCGACCTTGGCCAAGGAAAAGCCGAGTCGAGACCCCCTCCGCTCCCGTCACTCGTTCGCCTCGCTCATAGGAAAGTTCACTCTACGCGGATTCCGAACGCAAAACGGGAGTGCGGTAACCCTTGGAAGCTTCCCCACCGATGGAGGATTCTAGGCATCGAAAATATTCTCGCAGGGGCCGAATGGAGATGTTGCATGTGTGAGGAATTTGCGATTTGACTTTAGATTTTTATGTAAAAGTTCGCGAGAAACACGATGGTGCCACTGGTTTTCTCTGAAATCAACTCCCAAGCTTAAAAAGAGCTCTCAAGTTGAGGCCAAAATGGAGGGGATATCCCACGCTATCCTAAGAGTCAACCTCTACATCAAGACAAACTCTCCATGCAAAGATAGGGAGCAAATACATTAGCAGTGTTGCCGTGTTTTCAGTTTTGGAGTCCCCGAATAAAGTGGCAGCCCTGTCAATGTATTTGCTCCCTATCTTTGCATGGAGAGTTCGTGTTGATGTAGAGGTGGACTCTCAGGATAGCGTGGGATATCCCCTCCATTTTGGCCTCAACTTGAGAGCTCTTTTTGAGCTTGGGAGTTGATTTCAGAGAAAACCAGTGGCACCATCGTGTTTCTCGCGAACTTTTACTTAGGAATCACTAGTCAAATCGCTAATTCCTCACACATGCAACATCTCCATTTTGTCGGCTTTTTCACACGGAGTGCAACATCCATCGATGAGTTCAAACCGCACCACTGGCCAATCAGAAGCGCTAAGCCGGACTTAGGTGCAGTCGAGATTCGTCCTAAGTATATTTAAGTACGGTGGAAATACCGACCAAATTCGGGCCCATGGTAGAGTACCTACACTGAAAGAAAGATAATTCCGGCTGTGGAAGCCATACTTACGGGCTATATAGCCATACCGTCCGTTCCGGGCTCAGAGGCCAAAAGTTCCGGGCGTATCACCCGGAGCAATCGAAGCTACGTCTCCAGCACCCGGAACTTTCCGCCTCTGAGCCCGGAACGGACGGTATGTCTATACAGCCCCTAACTTTTTTATCAGTGCATATAAGGGGAGTACGGACATGTCGAAATATATGGAGCTTTTAGGGCCCGAAAGGGTAGCCAACACAAATGTCATTTCTCCAAATATTTTCCAATTTTTCCCTCTGTCGAGCTTTGACCAAGAGTTTAGGGTGCGACAAGAGGTGATGAAACGATACTTTCATGCCCAACCTCTTGTCAAATGTAACCAGCAGTTTGACCAAAGGTGATAGAACTGGCCCTATGTGTTTGCTCGGCATTGAATGCGTATTACATGGAGACTTGAACGCAAGGGTAGAAAAATCAACAAAAAAAACCCAACGTACGGATCGGCGATCCTACCATTATCAGTAACGCTTTATTTTCATCCTGTATTTACGATTTCTTAATTCTTTAAAGTTTATCATCAATGCGTAATATTTAGTTCAAGATCCGACAATGCTTCTGTAGAGACAAAGCAAGTATCCTAAGAGGAATCAGGAATAACAGATCGGATGAAATGAAGAACTACAGTCATATCTTCATTCAGCAGTCTTTCGCACTGAAAAAAAATTCTCGGCGTTTTTACCAATGTCCGTTGGTACCTTTACCATCTCACTTTTTTTACCAATTATTGGTAATTTTACTAAGACAGGCTGGTAAGCCTACCCAAAAACTGGTATTTTTACTGTTTTTGTCAGGTAAGAATACCACTTTTATTGGTAATCAATTCCCGGTAACTTTGCCATTTTATCTCGGTAATTCTACCACAGTCGATAAAAAATATTGGCGTTTTTACCAAGGTCCAGGAAAATTACCGAGAAAGTTCAATAATAAACCGAGATTCTCGGTAAAATTACCAATTCCATTAATGGTCATTATACCAAGAAAAAACTGGGATCAAATAGAACCCTGAGTTCTTGGTAATTTTACCCTTTTCTTAGTAAATACACGGAGATTTTTTTTTCAGTTCGGTCCCAAAGACAATGCTGCAGTGCTAAAAAATAACGCTAAATAAACATTCAATTTTTGCTAAATTTACTTACAAAAAACACCAAAGATAGTTATGATTATTTTTGATTGAAATTTTCGGCACTTTAGACCAGATCACGAACAAAATTCCATAAAAATTTGGAAAGAGAATTCTCCCAAATTTTCCCGAAAATTCGTGATTTGACGGAGGAAGTTTGGGAACGCCCAAAGGCTCGTACGGCATTTTTTCTTTTTTCTTCGTATGGCAGAATGCTAACTTGGCCTTGTTACGGGAATAACTTTTACCATCAAAATAACAATGTAGCTACAACCAGAAAAATAGGTGGTACCTAGAGATTATTGCGAGTCTGCTCATACCACGTTTCTTCCTTAGTATGATGGAATGCTCACCGGGCCTTTTTACCGGAACAATTCACCATCAAAACAACAATGTATCTACAAACAGAAAAATAGGTGGTACCCGGAGATTGCTATGAGTCTTGTAACAGCAACCATTATTCTTCCTCCGCAAAATCGCTGTGTTCACCACTTGCCTTCCGAAGTGCCTGAACTTCGCTACTTTCGATTCTTTGTTCGTAAATTCCCATTATCAGCCTGCAGGCATGTACCGTAACATCAACATTACTAATCTATCAACCAGTATAATCAGTCCCTCTCTTCTCATGATCAAACTCTTTGCAGATGGTTCTCTAATTTCAAATGTGTATACATATTGCCGCCTAGCGCGTGCTCCCTGTGGCTGTTTAAGTCTACGCGATTGCGACTTCCCGCTTGTTGCATTGTCCAAGATTGATAACCTTTAGCTCGACTCTCCAAACGTTTCCATTCAAACAATTCGTGCGAGGCTTTGTTGCCGAATATCTGTTTTTAAACCGGTCAATAGACACGAAAACAAGAGGAGCGTTTTTTACGATTCCTCTTTAAAATTTCTCGTATAAAACGAAATACTGCGCGAGAATTTCAAAATCTTCTTGTACACTTATCTTTTATCCGGAAGTTTCATCGTAACTAGTTAGTAAAAGTCGCAAAATTGCGGATTGACTGGAGTATTTCATATCTCAAAATTGCCACTTCCTTCTGTCAAGTCAGTATTTTGTTTGTCCTAGTTGAAAGAACTTTGTATCAAAATTCTATCTACGTATTTACAATTGTAGTCCTAACTATGTAAGCTTATTTATTCAGCAAAATAGAGTTTTTTTTAAAAAAAAAACCCAGTACGCCGCAAAAGGTTTGAAACCCGTATTAAACCTAGTTTTGAAATTTTTCAAAAGTGGTATCCTAACTCAAATTTTATTGAAGTTTCATATCAAATCGGGGTGTAAACCGTCACTAAAAACAGGAAATTACCAGAAAGTTCGATGTCAACAGGAAAATCAAAAATTAAATTTGCTTATGCAGGCCATGAACTCTCGGATAATTGTTGCGGGTTGCATACGCAGCTCCATATAAACAGTGAATGAAATTTCATTTTTCAGGGTTTTGAAGAATCCCATAAAATTTCAATTTGCATCTAAGGAACAATCGCCATCGTGTGGCAACCATTCCGAGCTTAAGTTTCCACGATCCAAGTCGAAACGACGCAACGTTGCCAGATTGTGCTGAAAAGTCAGCAAACTTTCGCATAGAACTCAATGTAATATATCGACGGTGAAACTACCAGACCACGTATCTATATTCCAGTGTGGAAAAAAAAAACCACATTGGATCTAGAGTCCAGACTCTTGAAAACATTGACAAGAAAAAATACTCTTGATTCAATTGGATTTTTGCTTGAATCAAAACGAAATCCGTTTGGTTCTTGACTTAAACAAAAATTCGATTGAATCAAGAGTACTTTTTCTTGTCGATGTTTTTAAGAGTCTGGACTCTAGATCCAATGTGGTTTTTTTTCCAGTGTATGGTTAGTCCATCACTTTCTCCTTCAGTCTATAGACATCATCCATTTTATCCAATAGGATTGCTCCATACTCCTTGCGTCTTCTTTGTCTATCGCATTGTCTATCAGTTTCAATAATCAGCCCGCCGTAGTTTCACTGTCGATATATTGGTTATTCCGCAAGATCTGGCAACCCTGCGGCGCCGGCGCCCGCTTCCTCGTCCTCGTCGTGAGCCGACCAAAGTTCAAAGCTCGGGCTTTTCGTGAGGCGGGGCCGGGGACTTGCGGACGTCGAATGTCACTCTGATCCAATCCGACTCGGAGCGGGAATCAGGAATCAGGAATCAGGAATGGTTCCCGGCTCCGGCGTCCTAGAGTTGCGTCTTAATCTTCATGATAATGAATTGGTTTCTGGTTTTGGGTTGCAGGCGGAGAAGGAGATCCTGGCGGCGGCCCACCACGAGCTCGAACGACGGCTCGAGGACCGAGAGGAGGAGCTCAGGGACAAGGAGGAGGAGCTCTTCCTCCAGCTCGAGAGGGTCATCCGACTCGAGGAGGATTGCGAAAAGGTAAGCCGCATTCTCTTCTTATCTAATCCTTTCTCTATTCTAGAAATCGGGAATCAGAACACCGCGTAGTGGATCGAGTCAATACACTGGAAAAAAAGAACACATTATGGATCTAGAGTCCAGACTCTTGAAAACATCGACAAGAACAAATAATCTTGATTCAATCAGATTTAAGCTTAAATCAAGAACCAAGCCTCTTAATTTGAGCGGATTTCCTCTTGATTTAAGCTTAAATCTGATTGAATCAAGAGTCCTTTTTCTTGGCAATGTTTTCAGGAGTCTGGACTCTAGATCCAATGTGTTTTTTTCCTGTGTGAGGTCGGACAAAATTTGGATATTGTCCATTGAAACCACCCCTCTTCCACTGATAGGATCGTTTCATTTGCCTTATGTCTTCTCTGTCTATCGCTTTGTCTAACAATTTCAATAACCAGCCCGCTGGTTCCATCCACGTCCCTCGGTAACACGGCGCACAGTAGATGGAGTCAATAGGAGAGGTCGGACAAAATCTGGAAACTTTGGAAACTGTCCATTGAAACCTCCCACTTCCACTGATAGGATCGTTTCATTTGCCTTATGTCTTCTCTGTCTATCGCTTCTATGAATTTCAATAACCAGCCCGCTCGTTCCATCTGTGTCCCTCGGTAACACGGCTGACAGTAGATAGAGTCTATAGGAGAGGTCGGACAAAATTTGGAAACTTTAAAAGCTCACAACTCCGTTCATACGAAACTTTGAGGGTTTAAGAGTGGTTCCATTGGTTTTCTCGGAAAATTTCCCCTCAGAAGCGCCCCTGAAAATTAAAACAAGACAAATTTAACATCAAAATTTGCAGTTTTGGTTAAATATCGCATTTCCGGCCTCTCTAATTGACTCGATCCACTGTGCGCCGCACAGTGGATCGAGTCAATCAAAGTGGTCGGACATGAAATTATTAACTAAAACTATAAATTTTGATGTTTATTTCCTCACATTTTAAGAAGAGGTGCTTCTGGAGGAAAATCTCACGAGAAAACTAATGGAACCACCTTTAAAACCTCAAAGTTTTGTATGAACGGAGTTGTGAGCTTTTAAAGTTTCCAAATTTTGTCCGACCTCTCCTATTGACTCTATCTACTGTGCGCCGTGTTACCGAGGGACATGGATGGAACCAGCGGGCTGGTTATTGAAATTGTTAGCCAAAGCAATAGACAGAGAAGACATAAGGCAAATGAAACGATCCTGTCAGTGGAAGTGAGTATTTGCAATGGACAGTGAAGTTAGGCAATAGACTAACTAAAGGAAACCGACAAGAGACCCCACAGTTATAGTCCATTATTTTCCCGCATGGTCTCCAAAAACCACCCGTTTCAACCAATAAGATTGCTCAATACTTTCCATGTCTTCTTTGTCTATCGCTTTGTCTATCAATTTCAACAATCAGCCCCCGACCTCCTCGGTGGAGTGTCTTCTTTTACTCATTAGACCTCCCTTGATGAGACCATAAGCAGTGGCATGGCGTGAATGATCGATTATCGATATTTCTCCATTTAAAGGTATGCTGAAAAATCGATTATTAAGGTGTTTGTTGCGAACACCCTGTATATCGATCGTTGTCCATAGTTTTAAATGGCAGATCAATCAATACATCGCAAAGCACACTACGCCACTGACCCTAAGAAGTTTCGAGCTCCGCGAAACAACTGAAGCGATTCCAGGCAAACTTTATTAACTCTCTTATTGAAGGAATTTCAACTGACAACACGATGCATACCGCAAAAGCAAAAACTGGTCGCTGCACCAGTTTTGTCCTCTAAAAAATGAAAAAAAATGTGCCTACCCATTATTTTTTATTATTCTTCAAAACGAAGCTAATAGCAGCGTCCTGGCATACTTGACACTAATTTTGAACATAAACACTGCTGTTTCGGAGCTTTTTAACGAAGCGCTGATCTAGTTCCGACGCCCGATTCTCGTAAAAATAATTGTGTCAGAATGTCAACAGAGTCATCGGACTACCCCGTGCGGGCTTTCTCATTTCACATTTCTGTGACAGGCATTCCGAACTGCGGAGCTTGTCGCGAGAAATCCGTGGCACTCTCGGTACTGCTGAACCGGTTGCATCGCGTTCAGTTGAAGTCCGTCTGTCGACAGGTTTTGATCAATTAGCACGTGAGTGATCTTGCACTTGATTTGGAAAATCGTGCTCATCCCGATGCACAAGAAGCAGATGGGTGCCATGCGAAACATCAGATTCCTTGCAATAGAGAGATCTATTGTCTTGGCCGTTCTTCGTTGTGCTAAGGAAAATACCTCCTCGTTTCGTTCAGAAAACTGATTTTGCGAGTGTCTGAAATTTGACAGGGTTGCCACAGTCAGGGAAAACCGGGAAATGTCTGGGAAAACTTGGAAATGCATTGGCGGATCCAGCAAATTGCCAACATTGTCTTTTCTCCATTTAAACCTATGGAAATGTATCGATTGATGGAGGGGCCAGGTGATCCGACAAGATTCGATTATTTACCATGGATTTAAATGGAGGAAATCCGGTGTTGCCAAATCGCTGATTCCGCCTCTGTAAATGTCAGAGAAAATGACGGAAATGTCACGGAAAAATCGTCAGATTACCTTCATTTGCTTTCTCGAGTGGGTTCGACGTTTTGACCAACAAATTTTGCTTGAAAGATATTTCGAACCATGTCTTTTTCAAAATCTGGCATTTGTTCAATTGTCAGGGAATTTTTCCAAAATGTAACAGGGAAATTGGGAAAATGTCAGGGAATTTAATTTCCCAAATTCTGTGGCAACCCTGTAAATTGGATTTTATTTTTACCCAAGTAAAAATTATTGAGTCATCTGAGCATGAGATTATCCTTCCTTTCTGTAAAAAAATGAAATAGCGACGGAGGTTTTTAAGGTCGCATGACGTTTGTGATACTTTGGCCGGAAGGTGACGAGTTGCGAGTTGCGTATCTCTGTATTGAAGGCGCACATTGAACACGGATATAGAACCATCTCCACGGCACGGTTCCGTTATTTCGTTCCAGGTGACTCATTTTCCCCCATGGTCAATCCAAAACTGAAAATAGAGCTTATGAACAATATCGGGGGTCTTTGGCCCCTCTCACTCACACACACACGCGCGCGCGCGCTAGTACGGTGAGAATAGGCGTTAGACAACGTGACCCTGACGGTACCTCTTTCAACCGCATATTCACCGAGTATTTGTTGAGTCACAAATTGAGAATTCCTCTCTGGTGCAACGGAATCACCACTACGCTACATAGTTGCCGCGGTGGGCTCACCTCTAACGGGGATAGGATCAAACGATTAGCCGAGGCAAAATTTCACGCCGGACCCAGAGCTCAGTGTTGGTTTTCATTCGCCGGGGTGCATTCTGGCTACGCGCTCAGCTACAATGTGCATGTTTATTCGACTTGGCGGTGGAAGAATAGGTAGTAGTGGATTCCAGTCACACATCCTTGACGATTCTTCATTGTTAGCTGTGAACTGATGCGATAATGATTTTCAAGAGAGTTGAAAAACCAGAATGTCCAGAGTAATCTCTGCCGCTGACAATGAGCTTAAATTTTTTCACTAAGCCGTAGAAATACAGGCTTCAGCATTTTTTAAAAAAGCGCACGCTGCACTTGACTTAAAGGCAAAAAAAACTGAAAATTGTATGTAAAATTTCCTCCCCTCTTCAGAGAATGTTAGGTAAAAATTTCAACCACGTGCGAAAAACCTGATAAAGTTGGGGAAATATTTTGCCAGAATCAGCTACGAATCCTGTCTTTGTACTTCCAGAAAATTACTCTTTACATGCTGGTATCTGAAATCATTCATTCCCGGAATCATGGAGCAGCCTATGTAGAGCAGGATTAGGGCTCAGGGACACAGGGTACTGTACTGAAAAAAAAAGTTCGGTCTTACGTACCGAAGTTCGGTGTTCATTATCATCGCAACGAATTCGATTCGTCAAACTGAATTTTCGGTTTGTCAAACCCAACCTTCTGTTCGTCAAACTGAATTTTCGGTTCGTGTAACCGAACTTGTGCGGTGCACACGAACCGAACGTTCAGTTTGACAAACCGAATATTTGGGATGGCACGGAACAGTGAACGTTCGGTTCACATGACCGGATTTTTTTTTTCAGGGTGATTATGAAGGGCCTCAAATAAAATCCAAAAAATTAAGGGCCTCAAGACACCCAAAAACCCAGGCTTAGAGCCTCTCGAAATCCGTCTTCAAGGATCCTTTTCGGATCTGGAATTTTGAAAAAGAAATAAAAAGTTTAGGGGGGCCCGCGTGGGGTCCTATACAGCAACCCGGCTAATCCGGTCCTTGTTCACGGAGAAAAAAACTTCGTGCGTGGGACCCGAAGTTTAGGTCATATGGATCTCTGAAGTTTTCGGATTGAGCATCTGAACACTTTAGGTCTAGCTGCTGAGGTTTGGATCACACTTCTGAAACTTCAGTTCTTACATCTGAAGTACTTCGGTGTTCACATCCGAAGAACTTCGGTTCTCACATCCGAAAAACTTCGATTCTCACATCTGAAGTACTTCAGATGTAAGAACTGAAGTTTCAGATGTGTGATCCGAACCTCGACAGCTAGACCTTAAGTGTTCAGATTCAGATGCTCAATCTGAAAACTTCAGAGATCCATATGACCTAAACTTCGGGTCCCACGCACGAAGTTTTTTTCTCCGTGTTTGATGGTCCGCTCTTGGGAGCCGGACGCCCGGGTTTTCGGGGGCGTCGCGACGCGGACGCGACAACGCTGGCCGAGCGAAGCGCGATGACGCGATTGCGCAGGCGCGATGCCCAACACGGCGCGACTCGGCGCGGCGCGCGGCGGCCCAATATAGCTTTCACTTTTGCACCATGTTACACGTAATTATATCCGTATTTTTGTTACTGTCCCCCCCCCCCCCCNTGCCCCCGCGAGTCCTCGGGGTCCGACCGCGTGGACCGAGCCGTTAGGTTCCCCCATCGGTCGGTTGGTCCACGGTTTGATCCAGGCTCTACCTCGCGAGGATGACCGGAATGGGGGAATGGTCGGGCAGAGATCAGATACTGGAGACACCATGCCTGACCGCGACAGCTCTGCCGTGGGAGCGAAGAGAGCAGTAAGTGTCACCTTTTCAAAATCGAGTTTCCTTCAAAATTCGTCTAATCCTTTTTAGATGAAATCGCTGAAATAGCTCAAAATCGAGTTTCCCTCAAAATTCGTCAAATCTCTTTCAGATGAAATCGCTGAAATAGCTCAAAATCGAGTTTCCTTCAAAATTAGTCAAATCTCTTTTAGATGAAATTGCTGAAATAGCTGAAACAGTCGAAATTCTTCTTAATAATTGTATGAAAACGAGACATATGAACAGACACGAGAGACCCTCCACTGGCCTCTTGGCGACAGGTGGAAGCTTTTACTTTCGGGGATTCAACACTTGCTTATGGACAGTTATAAGGGAGCAACAGTCGTCACTCTCTCTTCGGCTGTTGATCTACCTACATGGTGGATGATGAGCTTCGGGTGACGTCATGAGCCAAACAAGTTTCCCAACTACCGCTTGTTTTGACTTGTTCGCAAAACGAAACTGCCAACACGTTATTGAACATCAACCATGTAGATAAGTCAACAGTCTACTGTTGATGTCCCGAAAGTAAAAGCTTCCACAATAACTGAGATATACGAGTGGAGGGTCTCTCTCTCTCTAGTCTCTGCATTTTAAAAAGCTGCAATTGCGCAAAAAATGATGTACTTAGTTTCAGACAGAACAGCGGTAAGTGACATTATTCCTCCAGAGTCGAGCCAATGAAAACAGTGCTTTCAAGTAAAGTGCCGCCCTCTTCAGCCAATCCCTAACTTGAAAATGTGTTTGTTGTGTGTCCAAAACGCAACTACGAAATCATGCAGAAGATAGCACTCACGGCTGTCTTGCCTCTCTGAAAATGGATAATGCGCTTTTTATGTTATTGAAATAAAATCGGTCGGATTTCCAATCATCCAAACGATTTCCAGGAGTCCTTCGGATGATTAGTGGCAACTTGACAAAGATTGGCGGCTTTTTTCAATAAAATGTTCCGGTCAGACGCTTGTGAGCCCGTTCCATAGAATAAAGAGACTAACGGCAATGGAATAGCTCAAGCCACCGAAAATGGCGCCATTTTACTCAAGAGTAAAAGCTCTCGTTGACTCTCTGGCTGAATAACACCCCTTACCGCTGTTTTGCCAAAAGCAACGTCATTTTTTTCGCAATCATTACGGCATCCTCATAGGTCCTAAAGAGTTGAGACGAATTTTTCTGTTTTAACTGTCACGGTGATTTCATCTCAAAGAGATCAGACGCGTTTTTAGGATGTCTACAAGTCCGGAATTTCCGGAAAGTCCGGAAATAGTACTGATTTTTTAAGGGCGCTCCGGAAGTACTGAAAACGTGCGGAAATTCCGTAAAAAGGTCCGGAATTTTTTCCAATTTTTTGTCGTAATTTGAGGTAAAGATTCGAAGGTTTACAATTTTTCGAATTTCGTCAAATGGTGGAGGCACTGAAAAAGTACTGAATTTTTCTGTCGAGGGGGTACTGAATTCCTTGGGAATGTACTGAAAAAGTACTGCATAAGTACTGATTTTTGGCCACACTGGAAAAAAAACACATTGGATCTCGAGTCTAGACACTTTAAAACATCGACAAGAAAAAATACTCTTGATTCAATCAGATTTAAGCTTAAATCAAGAACCAGGCCTCTTAATTTGAGCGGATTTCCTTTTGATTTAAGCTTAAATCTGATTGAATCAAGAGTCTTTCTTCTTGTCAATGTTCTCAAGAGTCTGGACTCTAGATCCAATGTGTTTTTTTCCAGTGCAGCCTGTTTTAGTACACACCCTGATTTTGAAAGAAACTCCTTCGGTATCACGGCATCACTCTGCACGGATAATATATCAAACGGACTCTCACACCTTCCAGAATGAAGGTGTGGAAATCGCTTGTGCCTAGCACTAGGCATTGATGAGAGCTCTCACTCACCGCTTTATTGATTCGGTGTCGTGTTGCCTTGCATCGTAATTACATCCCTCTAATCGGGTTTGTGATGCTCTTTATTTGTTGCAGTTGAAACAGGAGAAGGACAAGATCATCGAGTGGAAGGAAAGGCTCCAGAAAGAAAGGGACGAAGCGTACAGACAGGTAAACTCTTCACGCAATTTTCTCCTCTCATATGCGCAGGGTGTCTACAAGTCCGGAAATAGTACTGATTTTTTCCGGAACCGGAAGTACTGAAAAGAATTGAGCGAGGAATTCAAATTTTTGAAATTTTTAGAATTTCATCTGATAAAGTACTAAATTTTTCTGAATGCACTGTAAAAGGACTGATTCTTAGCCACCCTGTTTTAGTAGACACCCTGTACACGTCAAAACACGTCACTGTAAAATATCACTTGGCTGGTCAGGGTGTCTACAAGTCCGGAAATTCCGGAAAATCTGAAAGTACTACCGATTTGTTTAAGAGGGGTCCGAAAGTACTGAACAAGTGCGGAAATTCCGCAAAAGGTCCGGAATTTTTTTCATTTGTTTGTCATTTTTGTCTCAACTTGAGAGAGAAATTCAAATATTTGAAATTTTTCGAATTTCGTGAAATGGAGGTACTGGAAAAGTACTGAATTTTTCCTATTGAGGAGGGACTAAATTTTTTGGGAATGCACTGAAAAAGTACTGTAAAAGTACTGATTTTTGGCCCGCCTGTTTTAGCAGACACCCCACCGGTATAAATTATCCTCAGTTGTGACATGAGTGGGTGTCACCTCCCTTATTCTCATAATTTCACCAAACACACGCTTTTATGTCTGGATCTATAATATATCGCCGGAGTTTTCAGCAGGAATGTTTTTTATACAAAATTTCAAGGAGGGGCCTTTCATTTTAAAAAGTTGTCGAGGGAAAGCAAAACCCGAAGGACAGGAAAACTTCTTAAAATCTCCAAGTTCTTTTTTTTTCAGTGTAATAACTCCCCTTCTCCTACCATTCGGCTGAAATGACAAGTCTACGGGCTGATTATTGAAATTGATAGACAAAGATGACTAACTGAGAATAAAACGATCCTACAGGTGGAAGCAGGTGGTTGCAATGGACGAAGGAGCTAAGTTATATAGACTTACTAACGGCAACCCAAGAGAGACCCTACAGTTCGTCAATCATTTCCCCCCTAGTCTATAGCAACGACCCGTTTCAACCAATAAGATCGCTCCATACTCCCTATGTCTTCTTTTTCTATCGTTTTGTCTATCAATTTCTATAATCAGCCCGCTGGCCCTCCTTCTTCCTCCCCAAATATCGCCCTCACTTTCAGCCGCGGTTCCTCTCTCTAGCAGTATACTTGCTCCAACCGTCCTGCTTTCCCCCTAATTTGACTGAGTCACCGGGAAATATCCCGCGAAACCCCATAATTTCGCGCTTTTACTTCATCGCGATTAATAACCCCCCCCCCACTTCGCTCAACACTGTGCGTTTATCCAATTGCTTTTTATCGGTGCCGTCTACCGAGTGCCAACTCGACTGGGATTTATAGGTGGGAGTCACGCGTTCTCACGTTATTCCGCCGTTAATATAAGGGGAATGCCGCCGCGCTAAGGAAAAACGCCCTACGAACATTCGAGAGTTGCCAAATTTCCTCCGGTAAAATGTTGAATTTTGGAGAGACTCATGAATATTTTCCCTCGCAATTTTCAGGTACTTTAGATCTGATCGTGAATGAAATTCCATGAATAATTGGAGGAAAAATATTCAGGTTTCTCTGAAAATTCGTATTTTATCGAAGGAAACTTGGCAACGTTTAAAGGTTCTTACGGCGTTTTTCCTCAGCACGGCAGAAAAGGGGTCGGGTAAGCGAGGATAACTAGAAATGACTCGCGATTTTATACTTGAGTCTAGACGGTGAGAGTTTTTAGTTTCCGTTTTGTTGTGGTGGATCCCGCGCTCTTTTGATATTTTGGATTCAGCTTCAGCCACTTTTTTACGTTGATTAACGTAAGTCTACAGCGCTGTCGTGCTAAGAAAAGACACCGTATGAGCCCTCAAGCGTTGCCATATTTCCTTTAATAACCAACGAATTTACTGGGAAAATTCTGAATATTCTTCTTCCAAGTTTTCAGACAGTTTTGTAACTAAAATATCGGAAAATTTTAAGGAAAAATACGCATAATAGACCACTAGACAAGGTACGAATTTCAGCATTCTGATACATGTTTCTCAACCAAAATTTCACGTAGAATACGATACGCACAACGAAAATTACCAAAATCAACTCCTGACGAAGATATTTAATGATTCTTGATGCGTGAATTCAAACCACCCGCTCATGAAAACTCAATGCTCTACGTGATTCACATCGCGCGCTAAATGTTTATCATGACAGTCTCTGCGATGTAAAAATCTTCAACTTCAATCTTGACACTTTGGCTCACCTATAGCAAATTACCAATAGTTTGAACAATACATGGTGGAAAATGAACATTGCTCGATTGAGAAGCTTGCTGAAACCGTTGTAGTGCGCGATTTGACTCACGTAGAGCTTTGAGTTTCTTGTGAGCGGGCAGTTCAAATTCCTCGTAATCAGTGCGAAATAAAAACGTTAATATCTTCGTTAGAAGTTGATTTCGGTAATTTTCGTAGTGTGAATCGTGTTTTACGTGAAATTCTGGTTGAGAAACATGTATCAGATTGCTTAAATTCGTACCTTGTCTAGTGGTCCATTTCCTTCAAAAATACATGTTTTATTCAGGGAAATTTGGCAACTTTCGAATGTTCATACGGCGTTCTTCCTCTTACGAGGTTATTCAAAAGTCAATAAGGATCATCAGGAATAGTTTGCCAACGCGGGAACCAAAATCGCCTTCAAAACTTTAAGTATGCAACCCCTCGACGGTCGTGCTCGAATAGTTATCGTTCAAAATCAAGACACTTTTTCAAGGCGCCTCTTTTATGGTTGTTCGAGGACGTGATGTCGACGGACGGCTAGGTCGAAAACTTCGGATCTCTGTTTGCGACGTCGCACATCCTTGCTCATGTTTTACTTGTTTCAAACTTTTCGGTGGATTACCGAACCACGGACTACCGAACTTCGGTGGATTATATACTTATTCGGTGGAATTTTAGGGGATAACCCCTGACACTTTTTTTTCCGTGTCTCGGTAATTTTCGTTGTGCGCGTCGTATTCCACGTGAAATTTTAGTTAAGGAACATGTATCAGAACGCTAAAATTTGTACCTTGCAGACAGTGGCCCATAGAATCGGCCCGCTGTCCTCCTCGCCCCTCTTTTCAGTTGTTTAAGTGTTTAATCTCCGAGATCTCGTTTGCGGAAACTTGTGATGACGTCATGGCAGGGATATCTGTATCCACCAGTAGGATTCCTCCGTACCCCTTTTATCTTCTTTGTCTATAGCTTTGTCTATCAATTTCAATAATCGGCCCGCTGTCCTCCTCGCCCCTCTTTTCAGCTGTGTAATCTGTGAAATCTCGTTTGCGCAAACTTGTGATGACGTCATGGCGGGGATAACTGTATCCACCAGTAGGATTCCTCCGTACCCCTTTTATCTTCTATGTCTATCAATTTCAGTAATCGGCCCGCTGTCCTCCTCGCCCCTCTTTTCAGCTGTTTAATCCCTGAGATCTCGTTTGCGCAAACTTGTGATGACGTCATGGCAGGGATATCTGTATCCACCAGTAGGATTCCTCCGTACCCCTTTTATCTTCTTTGTCTATCAATTTCAGTAATCGACCCGCTGTCCTCCTCGCCCCTCTTTTCAGCTGTTTAATCCCTGAGATCTCGTTTGCGAAAACGTGTGATGACGTCATGTCATGGCGGGGATAACTGTAACCGCGTTGGGCGCGGAATTCGGTGACGCGGGAAGTCGGGAGGACTCGGATTAGCGAGCGGCCGGAGCGCTCTTTTGTGTTGACCGCGTTTCTAATTAAAGCGCGTCTATGAAAGTTCAACGAATGCGCCAGACATAACAGAACAGACGGCACCGACCCCGGGCGTTGTAAAAACGACTTCCGCCCGATTCGACTCCGTTTCCGGACGACGTCGCCGCGGATTTCCCATTTTCATTTCCACGACCGACCGACCGGCCGGCCGCTCGGTGGGCCTCTCGAGTAGCACTACGGAAAAAAGTGAATTTTTGGAAGTGTCTGTAAGTTTTGAACTCAGCACTCAGCGACCCTCAAGAATCCCTATAAATGTATTTTGCACGATTCAGCGTGTCTACAAGTCCGGAAAGTCTGGAAATAGTACTGATTTTTTAAGGGGATTTCGGAAGTACTAAACAAGTGCGGAAGTTCCGTAAGAAGTCCGGATTTTTTAGTTTTGAACTCAGCGACCCTCAAGAATCCCTATAAACGTATTTTGCACGGTTCAGCGTGTCTACAAGTCCGGAAATTCCGGAAAGTCTGGAAATAGTACTGATTTTATAAGGGGGTTCCGGAAGTACTGAAAAAGTGCGGAAGTTCCATAAGAAGTCCGAATTTTTTTAAAATTTTTTTTTTCATTTTTGTTGCAATTTGAGCGAGATCAAATTTTTGAAATTTTTCGAATTTCGTCGAATGGAGGTACTGAAAAAGAACTGAATTTTTCTGTTGAGGAGGTACTGACTTTCTCGGGAATGCACTGGAAAAATATTGTAAAAGTACTGATTTTTGGCCAGCCTGTTTTAGATGTCTAGTAGATGCAATGCTCAAGTAGCACTACGGAAAAAAAGTGACTTTTTGGAAGTATCTTTAATTTTCGAACTCAGCGACCCTCAAGAATCCCTATTAATGTATTTTGCACGGTTTAAACATTTCTTCTGATTTATTAACACCCAAATCCGGCTTTGGAACCATATTTTGGTGCGCGAAAATCGGCCGGCGCGCGTTAAGCGAAAACGTCAATCGTCCATAACTCTCGAACCCTATAATTCCCCAGCTTGATGGACCACTCGTTGGATGCGGAAAAATATGAACAATTTAAAAAATTGGTTTTGGTTCAAATAAAAAACTGAGTACTTTGTAAATTCTTTGTTTATTAGAAATTTTCCAGACTCAAAAACTGAAAAAAGCACATAACGTTACATTTAAAAATGTGATTTGGGGATTTTTACCTTCACAGTTTTAAAGTATGCAATTTTAGACGATTTTTCGTCCAAACCGGACCTCGATATCTTTTTTGTTGGTTATAGGACACTTCGTCAACGATTTTTTGTCCGCGCACCTGTTTTTCCCAGTAATTTACGTCCATGCGTTTTTTCGGCACGAGAGTTTTGGTCCACGCGCCAGTTGATACCCAAAGTTAATTGGCCCACATGTAAATACAAACGACAAGTGCTCACGACGTTTTTGGATGAAAATGTATAATGTCTTGGAACAATGAGGGTTTGCTTGTTTTTTTGTTTTGTCTGTTTGGTCCAACGGATAATAATATGTAGTCGAGAGTTTTGATAAAAATGGGGGAGCGTCAATTCCATGAGACAAAATTCACTAAAACTCTCTACACCTCTTTGGTGTAACAGGACTTTATTATCTTTCCAGAAAATCCCACCTTGTTATACCTGAACCGAATAAACCTCTATATTTGATTCAGCTAAAGGCTCTTAAATTTTTCGAGTATACGATAAGTATCTTGATTTATTTTGCGAGGAAAGATCTGTACTTTTAAAGGATGCCTGCCATTCTTAATACGTTCAATTTCGTATAATACTGTGCAACACCTCTGTTTTGAAATAGTTGCTTCAGGCGCCGCCGCACGGCGGGCGGGCGGCCAGCGCGAGACGCGCATTGGCGCCTACAAACCTAAGTGGATACTTCAAGCATTGTGCAATGCGTGAAGTATCCACTTAGGTTTGTAGGCGCCAGTGAGCCTCTCGCGCTGGCAGTACGCCGCGCCGCTCCGCTCTGTTAGGCTTTAATATTTATATTCGCATAGTTAGCGTTTTTTAACTCATGATTTTGAAATGTTTGCACACTCTGCATTGATTATTCTCATTTAAATTGATGGGAAAAAATTTGTATAAATTTATCAAAGGAGAATAATAATAAAATGTCCGTTTTTTAAATATTGGTGGTTCCGCGTCAAATTTAATGATTTCCAAAGTACTTTAATTTTTTCTTTTACATTTTGTGCTTTTATTGTACTGCAGCGAGGTGTACGCGCAACCAAACGCTCAAAATTTGACGTATTTGACTCTAAAAGATCGATGTACAAATGGGTTAAAACTAAAGATCGCGTGCTTCTTGGTTTTTTCCCCTCTTTTATTCATTTATCCACTTTGCCATACGGCGCTCGTATCAGGAGGCCCTCAATTCACGCTACTTGAGGTACCTCAACTAATTCGTCTGTCGTTGGTGATATTCACGCTCTGATCTATTCACTCAGAGTATGGCGCGAAATTCGCGCTGGATTTTTTTTTCACGCCGGCCATTCACTCAGAGTAAATCGTTGATTTTTAACAGTGAAAGTTTGAAGAAATTCCGGGAGAAGGGGGGGAAAGCCGTTTTTTCATCAAGGTCTTTTAAGGGGTGCTTCCAGAAGAAAATTTCACGAGAAAACCACCGGAACCACTTTTAAAACACTTGAGTTTTCAATGAACGAAGTTATAAGCTTTTAAAGGTTCCAAATTCAGTCCGACCTCTCCGTTGGCTTGGTCCATTGTGCGGCGCCGCATCCTGTCCGAGGACCCTATTTAGCGTTTTATGACCGCGCAATGAGACCGCTTTCCGGTTCCTCGTTCGCGTGAAAAGTTCGCCTATTCGCGGAGTTAAGACTAGTCATTGTTTCGGATCACTTTCACCGTGGAAATGGGAGACGACAACTTTTCGACTCCATCTTGCAATTAGGAACCACTCTTATTGCAAGGTGTCTACTACTCCGGAATTTCCGGAAAGTCCGGAAATAGTCCTACGGGCCGATTATTGATAGACAAAGCTATAGACAAAAAAGGCATAGGGAGTATGGAGCTATCCAGGCTATCCTATTAGTTGAAATGGGTGGTTCTTATAGACTAAGGGAGAAAATGATGGACTAACTATCGGGTCCCTCGTGGGTTGCCGTTACGTAGTCTACGAGGGTCATCCAAAAAGTAAGGTTCCCTACCTTGTATCTTCCAAACGAAAAGAGATAAATCAAATCGGTAAAAACGTACATATTAAGCATACTTTAAGCTTTAAAATAAGCTCAAGTTTTTGAAAATCGGTTGCGGACTTCGCGAGAAAACTCAATTTTACCGAGACGACCTCCCGTCGTCGCGTGCCCACCTCCGAGGTCAAGATGCGCGGAGAGTCCCTTACTTCAGACTCGGCCTATCGCCTCTAAACATCATATCGAAAAGGAATTTAAAAGATTTTATCAAGTAGGCCTTACCTTACTTTTTGAGATAGTCTCTGCATCTTTTTTGACATTTCTGGTATCATTACAGCAGCTCTTTCATGCCTTCCGCGTAAAAGGTCTCGTCTTGACCCCAAAACCAATCATTGCCAGCGATCTGCACCTCTAAATCGGTTGGAAATCGCTTTCCACAGTGGGAGTTTTTCATCTCAGGAATAGACAAAAGTCACCTGAGGCTAATTTAAGAGAGTACGGAGGATTGGGGAAAAATTTTACCACGGTAAGCAACTGATGTGGAAGTGCAGATCGCTGGGAATGACTGGTTTTGGAGCCAAGACCAAGAATTCATAGAAATTCAATTCATTCATAGAATTTTTCAATGGAAGCTATTGAATTTCTTTCATTTCACTATTGAAATTAGGTTCTTTTAAGCTTTCCTAAGCACACATGCAGTGGATTGGAGGTGCTTTTCTACCGCAAATTCTAAAGATCTGTCATCTGCTCTTATTGAAAATTGTAAAAAAGGTGTCGTTGGTTAATTGAATTTTTTCTTTTTGATTTCAGTTAAAATTACAAGCAGAAGCCTCTGAGGTGACAAGGCGGAAGTTGGAGGTTGCCAGAAATGATGTAGTTCGACAAGTGACCGCAATTGTAGCTGAAAAAGACTGTTTAGAAAAAGAGGTAAATTCTTCGAATTTTACCTTAAGAAAAAGTGAGTCCTAGCTTTTCCAAGGGGGTGAGAACCAATGATGACTACAGGATATCCAAGTAAATTTTACCCAAACATATTGAGGTAGCTGCCCCCGCAGCTAGTTCCACATCTCAAGAATGAAAAATCAAATGCAATAAAGTCTGTCAATTCAACAGACAGATGCCACTATTTCACCCTTTTTTTACTCTTTATTGTGTCTTTTAAAAACTAATCAATGGCTAAAGTTGGAATCCATGTATCTCAATTGTGGCGTATTATTGAAATCTCCGTTCCTTTTTTATTTTCTCGGAGCTTAAGAAAATGAAACTCGCTCAAAATGTTCACATGATATTCTTTAAATAGAGAAGAAAAAACACTCAAATCCTCAAGAATTGCAGTTTCCAGTTGATAAAGTGAAGTATCACAAGAAATCTGCAACATGGGAAACCGACATTCCTAGGTATGCGGTCTCCGAGTTGAGGCATCAATATGTTTCGCACAGTAAATTTGTCCCTCATCAGCAGTGAAATTATATGAGATAGGATATTAAATATATAGATGTATCTGATTTTCAAACAATAATTTAATACCTAACCTTGTTGCAGAATTCTCGATTGAAAGAGGCCTTGCAATGTCTAGAGAGAAAAGTGCCCATCCAGTATCGCAATCCTAAACCCTTGAGTCGGTGTGAAAGTGCTAAAGGATTAGAGGCAGAGGTAAGCTATGAGATGATATCATATCAATCAGGGCCGGATTAGCTGGATTACTGGGTTACTGTGGCAGCCTGGGCTCCCTGGGCGATTTTTCCTAAATTCTTGATCCTCCAGGGGTCTTCGGATTCTTAAAGACAAACTTATAGAAGCCCTAAGACTGGAATTTTGGGTGTCTTGGGGCCCTAAAATTTTAGAATTTGGGGCCTTTTTTGATCAGATCAACAAATCAGTAATAACTTGAGTTTATCTATCTGAAGAAAAATATTAAGGCTAACTTTTATCATCTGTAAAAGTGTAAACTAAATTTTGAAGTGAAGAATTAAGAAAAGTTGCGGTTCCTTTTTTGAGAACAAACCTGTATAAATGCTCCCCATTAATGATGTAAGGATTTATCAGAGGAGCGAACTTCTTAAAAACCATAAAATGTAGCATTTTTGAAGACATTTGGAATAATTATAGAGCTGTAATTACTACTTGAGAACTTGTCTTGTAAGTAGGCTTGACATAACTCAGTTTCCAACTACTGTTATGAAAAAATACCAGATTCTGAATATTCTTTAACAATAATGAGCAAAGATCTAACTAAAAAGTCTTTTTTCAATCGAAAAATCTTGGAATCGGAGTCAGGAATCACTTGACAGTTTTTAATTCAACTAGAAAATATGTTTTTCAGATGTTTCGTAGAGTTTGAAAATGATATCTTGTTGACAGAAGTATTTATCATTTCACAGTCCCATGTACGCCCATCTTTCAGGTGCCGGCACGTAGCATTATCCCAAAATTAAGAATGCCGTAAGGCATTGGCGCCTGACGCCAATGTCCATGTGTCATGCAAGCTCCAATTTTAAGGGCAAAATTGTTATTTTTGTTTTCAATTTAAAAGTAAATTTGTTTTGCTCCTCACAGGTTCATGAATTGAAAATTATGGCTAAACAATCTGCAACTTTGAATTCTCAGCTGAAAAAAGGGATGAAGCACTTGGCGTCATGCCGCCGGAGGAAATGTTCTGTTTGTGCCTATACTAGAGCTACTTTTGGAGAATATGCAGCCTACGTTGAGTAAGTGTTTAATCCCTATCTAAAATCTATCTTCACCACATCTTTTAATTGTAACTTCAAAATGCCAACAATGTCAATTGTTGTTGTAACAACAACTAGAATTTCAAGAAAACTTAATGGTAAAATTTATGGAAACAAGGGACAACAACTGATACTTAAGTATCGCAAAATGAAATATATGCCGAAAAAATTCATCCCTTTCAAATTTTTGCATGATCCTATGAGGAAACTTTAAAGAGTTTCTCAACCCAAAATTCAATTTGAAATTTTTGAAAAAAGTCTGAAATATTCCAAATGTTTACTATTTTTCTTAATGTGACTTGAGAGACTTTGTTATCTCTTAATCCAAAATATGGTTAAAAGTGAATCCTTCTTCAGGATATCAATGCTCAGCCAGGAGGAAAAAAGAATATAAATGGAATTTTTTTTTCGTACCAACTTTGAGGTAGCCACTGATCTACCCATAATTTGCAGAAACCATGACATCTTTCTTTGATGAAATTATTTTCAAATGGCAAATCTTCGCCTACACTTTGAACGATTCAAATAGGTAGATCCCTTTAAAAAAAGGACCAGAAAATTCAAACGAGCTTGTTAACTTGAAGTTCTTTAAAATTGTTCTAATTCTGATTCTAAGGTGAAAGCCTCCCTCAGTCATAAAGCAAACCTTTTCAATTTCTTTAAGAAGAGGAACTGCTGAAGAGACAGCCATGATCATTGCCCATAGTTGTATAGTTAGTGTACACAAGGAAGTATAAGAATGCTTAAGTTGAATAAATCTATTCAGAAGCTAGAAATGATCTTTGTCTCTTTATTATTTGTTATTTATTATTTATTATATTTTATATATTGTTATATTTTATTAATTAAATTGTCTCTTTATTATTATATGCCTTCAATTTTGTCCACAGTGACAAGGATTCAAAAGCAGTCAAAAGCTGTTTCCCATTCCAAGACTTACGCAAATGGACTCACAAGCCTATAGCAGCAACGCCAGCAACGGAGCCAGATTTCAGCGCTCAAGTCGCAGAGCGACTGTCGCAGTGTTCTATTAACCCTACCTCTTTAGCTCAAGCAGCCATGCACCTATCTTATATAGACGACTGTTCCTTGTCATCTGACTGTGAAGGTGAAGGACATGAAGATTGTCGAGCCTCCACCACTTCCTCTGCGCCGCACGCATTCTCCTCTGATTCGGGTTTTTCCTCTGAGCTGTGCGACTCGGGGCTTCAAGACAAATCTTTTCACCGCGGGTCCAAGTGGACTTCCTCTTTTCGTAAGCTGTTTAATAGAGTGTCATCTAAGCGTATTGCCAATACCTCTAATCAGTCATAACTTCACAAACTTTACTCTGCGTAAATTGCAGATCTTGAAATATCTAGGTAAAGCTGTTGTAAAATGAGCTGGTAGAAATCGAAAAAAATCAAGACGAATTGAGGTTCTTGAAGAAAAAGGCAAATAAGTGTAGTTTTTTTAAAAATTGAGGTATTAATGATTTCAACTAATACTAGTCTTTAAATATATTCTGTGAAAAATTCACTTCCAAATTCCAATTTCCAAGCATCAAAATGTGAACTTGAATTTTCTGTCCGCCATAAGGCTCCATGAAATTTGGAAACTTTAAACGCATATTTCTCGAAATAGCAAAAACTGCACTAACACACTTTGACCTCCAAGCACCTCAATTTTCAGCCGCCAGTGACATCACAGTTCTGCTTTTTTAGTCTCTGGCTCCATTTTTCAAAAGATTATTTTAGGCATACAATAGTTGAACAATAAAACGATGAGTAGTAAACATGTGCAATATTTTGCTAATTTATTGCCATCTCTAATGATGTCAAAGGCAATTAACTCATTTCTCTGAAGAGATCGCCCATTTAAAACTATTAGCTGCAATCACTGGTTTCATATTTGAGTACTTTCATTTTGGATTTAAAAACTGAAAACTTAACTTTAAAAAGATGGCCACAGAAAATATGAGCAAAAGACAAAATTGCAGCCTCATGTCTAAAATGCTATAAGACTTCACTTAAGCTGCTTATGACAAGCTGACTTTAAAGTGGAGGGCACGAAAACACCACACAGTTTTTAAATTCAAGTTGATAGCTCAATTCCGATTGACAAAAGCATACCTTCCAGGGATGTCAGTTTACAGGCAAAGAGAGTAGCCCTTGTTGAGGGTTGATTTTATAGAAATACTAAGAAAGCGAGCCTTACAAAGAATGTGTGGCCTGGAGCTCTGAGCATCTTTGAGGTATATTTCTGTGACGCATGCAACAGACCAGACCCATTGAGGTGAAAGTATGTACTAGGTCCAGCAAAAAGTAAGTACTGGGTCCGTTTTTGCACCATTCTCTATACTCTTCTGACACCGAAAAGATATGTAAGTAGTCATTGTAGACACCACCATTTTTTTGAGGAGGCAGCAGAATTGACTGTGTTATTTCTCAGCTCAGGAATTGTTTGATGAAAATAATCTCAATCCCTAAAATTTTTTGGAGATGAAAAAATTTTCCAACTGACGCATTTATTCAGGAACAATCTATTTTTCTGATATACACATAGGATGCATTAAAAACCACCCCAAGTATTCAAAATTCCAAGAATTTTTATTTAGCTGCAGCACCAATGATTCTACAAAATCTTTAAAACTAATGTGCTGAAAACTTGTGAACGCAAAGGAATATGTTGGTTATTTATGTTTAAGTAAATTTTCAAAGATACGTGTGTTGGACCAAAAATTTAAAAAATTTGTCTTGGCAGATAAATTTTTAACCAGGGTTGTTTTTCTAAATTTCCTGCTATTCAAAGTCTCCTTTTCCGAATAATAATGCCATTTAGATGTAATTTGGTCAGCATGACAGCATGACTATCAATTTCATAGCTCATGTGACATTGATGACATTTATGTGATTCTATGCAAAGAATTATGTATACTCTGATGAGCCTCGTTTGTGATATCATTAACTTTACAGTTTTAATTTAAGGTGATTAAGTGCAATACCTATCATGATAGTTTATCGTACCTATTTTAACAGCAACTATACGAAAAAAGCTTTCTCGGAAGTATCTAGCACTGGTGCAGTTTGATTGATTCTCAAAGGATTCTGAGGACTAAAACTTTTTTAATTTGTGTTTTGGAGTCTATGGCTTATTAAATCCCCTCTCATTGTTTTATAAGTAGCAACCAAGAAACTGAAACATCATTACACTTCTTCATCATGTATTTTTTGCTCTTTCTGTTGAATTTCACGATATTTTTTTGAGGTACATACTGCATTTCGTCCATGCAGTTTCTATTATTTCCTTGTCCTTATTTTCATAATTTTGACTACCAATAGGAAATAGGAGTTTAGTTCACAGAGGCAAAATCTTGTGCGGAGTAATTTTTGTAGAGTTGGGTCGACAAATCAGATTTTGAGATTTTTATGGTGAACTCCCTCAAGTGGCCGATGGGCCAAGTTGCGACTTGGTTAGGTCAATTTTGTGCCTATAGAAAACACAAAGTATTATCATAATCCTGCAATTTTTTGCCTCATACATGGCAAATTAGAATTTCAAATAACTCTCTCTCAAAATTACACTTTCTAAATTGACAATTTCATGAAATTGTAGCTGTGATTTGTTTTGGCATTTTCGAGCTTTTTTCCGCTTAATTTGTGTAATATACACTTCTATAGCCTGCTATAAATAACTCAACAAGGAGTCTTTGTTAACTAAGGCACATTTACCTATGGGCGGTCAAAAATTCTTTAATTTATTTTTTGTAGACCTTTTTGCATATAATTTTTCATTTGCATCTGAGGTGGTGTTTTAATTTGAATTTCCATAAGTGTCTTCAGTTTTTAATGAAAAATACTCATCGTCAGTTCTTAGAACAAGTGTCTGCTGGTGTATGGTTTTTCATTGTAATTTTTTTATCATTATTTACTCTAATTAATTTTATATTTTAATTTGTCTCTCGTTCGAGAAAAAATCCATGCATGATTCCTCTGTGTGCATTAGTAAACTTCTGATAATTGCCCACCCAAAGAAAACTAATCTCTTTCTATCTTACAGATCCCTGAGTTTAGGTACTTTACTCCTCTAGTTTATTACCTTGGGAATAAAAGTCATTAAAAATTCAACTGCAGGAGGGTCATTACCCTGATTGCAGTCCCTACTTTGCACTTTTTTTTTTCATTTTCACACAAAGGGATTCCATTCGGAAGTTACTGAAAAATACACACTCTGAAAATATTTGATCTAATCTGATGGTTTGAAATTTTATACATCTTTAAAATTAGTTTTGATCATTCCAATAATTCTCTCTATCAAAGAATCGAGGATAATTTTAGCAAGTCACTGGTTCCTGGGAAGGGCATTTGTGATTAATACAGTTTTAAAGGAGGTATCGGCAGTTTTGCAAAACACTTGAATGGATTTTCAGGAGGCATGCTCTGTTTTGCAATAGACTACATAATATTGTTAGCAACATTTACAGGCTAATAATGTTGACCTGAGAAAAATAATAAGAATGAATCTTTACTTGCTCATGTTTTTACCATTTTCTCCGGCTCATTTCTGTTCTAAATTTTAAAAACTTCATGATGGTTAAAAAAATTTATAATGATTTTAAAAAAATTCCTGGTGATGAAATTGATTAAAATTAATTTTTGTATCTCCTAGAAATGTAATTTCCCTTAATATTTGCAGAATATTTGCTTCTTAAAGTTTTGATCTTAAAAGCAAAAGACCCTGTGAACTTCCTGTGGGAATGTGTACCTTGATCAATTTCCCATTTTTTTATTGCATTAAACTCCTCTAGTGATGCTAATCAAATTTCAGAATTGTGCCAACTTTCGATGGGCCATCGTTTTCGCACGATCCGCAATTGAAGTTTTGATCATTTCCAGGACAGGCTGGCAGTAACCAAGGGAAAATGCAGCATGTGTCTGTATGTTAAGGATGAGAGTTGGAGAGAGATAGAAACTGATATGGACACTGAAGAGAAAAAGTGTGTGGAATCCAAGATAAGACCGTCGCTTGCTCGCAGCAAATGTTGTTATTTGATTCAACAGTGGTAGTGGCCGCAGATCTTGCTGTATCTAATTGCGCTGGGATTTTCATATCTATCTTGTTCACACCCAGCTGGCGGACCCGTACTCAAGCGCTGAAATGAGGGATCTCTTTGACTCTTTATTGCCACATCACCTTCACTTATTCAAAGAATTATCGAAAGTTCAACCGCTGATCGTGCAAAAACGGGGGCTCATAGAATGATGGGCGCTATAATGACTTTTGATATGCATCTATAAACGCGTATAATGCAATAAAAAAAATGGGTAATCGATCATGGCATACATCCCTACAAGGGATTTTAACTTTTATAGAATAAACGACACCTATTATAAGCACTGGTTGCAGGGCAGAAGTAGGCAATTATTTTTAATTTCGCATCTATTTTAGATCAATAGCTTTAAACACAGCTCTTGATTATCTTGTAACATTTAATCCGATAAATATTATTGATCAATGGTAAAAACTGACCAAAAACTTTCTTCGTTTGGATTTTTTCATCTGAACTTTAAGTAACCAGTACTGGAAATTTTGGTTCATACTTTTGAATACATCTGTAATTGCTAACAGCATATAAAACGATTTGAAGTGTCTTTGGAAATCTTCATTCCTCACCCATGTACTTACTAAGATCATCTACAAGTTTTTGAGTCGCTGGTCAGATACTGTGATTATTATTATATTATTTTTTTTTAAAAAAAAAACATGAGCTCTTATTTTTGGAAATTTGTTAGTCATTGCTAGTGCCCAATAAATTTAAGAGCTTAAATCTCTAATTTTGATGGTCTTCTGGTTATTGTCGACAAATTTTGAGTCCAAAGACTTCTCGTTAAGTTTCGTATCTAAGTTAGTTCAAGGTCTGCAATTTAGTGTTTAGTGCTGTCCTCTTTTCTCTTTTTTTCGTTGATTTTTTTCCTTTTTATCTCTGTATTATTGAACAGTATTTCACGAAAAATCAATTAAGATTTTTGGTCATTTAGAATTTTTTGTTTCTTTATCAAACGTAGAATGATTTTTGTTTCAGAGAGAGCTTTCAGTTTAAATAAGAAAATTTTCTTTTTCCATATTTTTCCTTTTTTCTTTGATTCTTCCAGTTTACTTCTGAACAAACACCGAGAAAATTATGTGTAGAAAACTGCAGCTGAAGCAGCAATCTAGATGTTATTCATGCCATAACTTAATTTCCTAACTAATTAATTGTTTTACAAATTTCTGTCTAAAGTTATCATGATTTCTGTGGACCATCGTAAATGGTCTGACTCGAGCATTTTTATCTTGTTTATTAATAATTCAAGTGTACTTATTATTCTTAATTGTTCCTTTGAAGGTTGTTTCCTATCCCTTTGACAATTGAACTGATATTTTTCTTGAGAGCCTCAATCTTTTGAGCATATGTGTCGAAAGAATTCATATTTTAAAACTGGGTTTAAAAGATTCAACTCATGCCAAATGGTTCACTTTTTTCTGTTTTTCCCGAAATTTGGATTTTGGCGCTTTGGCCCTCAAGAAAAATATCGGCTCAATTCTAAAGGAATAGATTTATTGGTTTCATGTTATTGCAAAAATAGATCTGAAAATTTAGCTTCTCATTGTAGTTCCAATGTTTACTTTCTGTAATTCTGTGGCTGATTTTAAAAGAAAATCTATCGATAGATTATGTTGGCATCGAATTCCACTCACAATTAGTTAATTATAGGAATGACAGGCCAGCTTGTTCTTAAGCTTTTCCTATCTTTTCAAACAAGATAATGTAGTCTTGCTCTGGACTTCACCACTACTTTGTCTCTCAAAATAACTGGTCAGTGAAATGCTCACAGTCCAAGGCAAGTAAGAAGTATTTTTCTTCATCATTTTTCATCAAAATATATTGAGTAATTTTTTTTTAAATTTTCTGTGAGGCTGTACCAAAAAAAATTTGAAACTTTGGAAACTCGCTTGGTTATGATGAAATTTATACCTGTATGTATGCCTTTGTTTAAGTATATGGTTGGGTTTTTTCCCTTTAATAAAATAAATTTTAACCATTCCAGATAACATTCCTTTCACCTCAAAATTTTGAAAACTCTACAAAGTCGGCATATGGAATTTTAAGGAGCAACCAACAAAATTACTAACTAAATATGTAGTCAGCGCTCAAACTTTTCCCAGAAATTAAGCATATTTTTCATGTCTGTATCATTCTTATTCAAAAAACCTATAAAATGTGAATGAAGTGTGCAAGACTTTTGAGGATAAGACAATATATTTGTGAAGTAAACAGACTGATTGGTGTTATTTTAAATTTTTTTGAATAATAATGTAAGATAATCTCATCCTTTATCTTATGGAGACATTCTTACAATTCATTTATGTGATTTCTACCAATTAAGTAACAAAATTCTTGTACAGGTGTTGATTTTTGTGAAGAAAAAAAAGACTAACTTTTATCACTTCGAAAAAAAGGAAAACTTGGAGATATTCTAGGTTTGGTCCTGAAGTTGTTAAGCATGAAACCTGAAACAAATTGTTTTTATTGAAATATATGTTACACATATCATTAAATGGTTGTTCTATGCTTTTTCAATCCTATTAACATATAAATTATGATCGAATATTTATGGAAGCTGGCAATGTTATAAACGTAGCGAGATAACTATTACAAGCCAAAAGATCGTTGAATCAATGTTTTGCATAAAGGCGCAAATCTATCAAAACGTTCCCACAGATGGTGCATTTTTGTAAGGGTAAGCCACTGAGAATTTGTATTCGAACATTTTATTGAATTTAGTTGGTTTTAAGAGGAAAATATTACTTTTATTCCCCAGAAAATTTGCTCAGTTGCCCACCCATTAGACAATTGTCTATCTTGGCCCATTTGACAATTGTTCAATAATGAACTATCTCTGGCAATTTTAAAAAATTGCAATAGACTTATGTCCTTGTGCAAAAAATTAACTTAATCATGGATATCTGTAACCCACAGCTAATGAATCGTAACTATTTGAAACGGATCGAGTTATTTCCCAGCAGAGATTCCGTGTGTGAAAGAAAATTTTTCAGCCTTTACCTGGCATCAAGAACAAGATAACAAGCTCAGAACATTGCAAGCTATATTGCATGTAATGAGGTAAATGAATTTTTCTCCTCTCATTCCAGAAAAATCACACCTAATTGCACATTTCGATCAGTTTTCCCTGACGAAAATAAAACCTAGTTGAAGATTTTTAAACAGTGCTATTGAGATACCCTTTTTTGCATTTAGCCATTGATATTTTTTCATCTGATCAAATCTGTCATAATCGGAAAATCTATCAATCGAAATTGGTATGTAGCAGCGCAGAAATTATTTCTCCATCAAATTCTTCTCCAAATATTAGTGAAGACAACTAAGCACGTCAAAGTTTCAGATTGTTCACTCCGGCTGTGCAATTTCACTGTTTCTCCTATCAATGTTACATAAAATAATTATTTTTATCACTGGGTCTCTAAATTCCACTTTCTGTCTCAAAGACAATAAGAAATTTGGTAATAATGAAATAAATTGAAAAAATCATAATTCACTCACCCGTCTCATTAGCCTTCTCTCTTGTTTCATTACAATTAGGAGGTTGATTCCTGTAGTTTTGACTGAGTCCCTGCAGAAAACTATCCTGTATTGTAACCTTTTCTCTCGCTTCGTTACAATTAGTAGGTTGATTCCTGTAGCCCTGACTGAGTCCCTGCAGTAAACAATCCTGTGTCATGTAAGTTTTTGCGGTGGGTTTGGGCTGTGCTGGAGGAACTAGCCTTTGACCAAATGATCGCGGAGGAGGTTGCTGTGAAGATGATTCTTGACTTTGAAAGTGCTGGAAGGATGCATGACATCGTAAAGACTCATATTTCATCTAGTAGAAGGAAAAAGAAGAATTCATCAATATATCTGAACTGTATTCAGAAAAAGACACTGCTGCAATTCGTTGGTACAGAAAATGAAAATTCTAAAAATGAAATTCTCAGCAATAATATGAAATGTTCAAAAATTGCCAGAGGTTGCCCCCAATGAGTCAGCACAATAAATTGATTTGGACAATTGACCTCTTTCTATGACTCTTTCTTTGAAACCCAAAATTCACTACTCATACAAATTACTTTCAAGCAAGGTCAAATAGATGAAGAGTGAAGCCCAAAAACCAAGACCTCTTTAAAATATTGAATGAGAATCTCACTAAATCCTAAAATAATAAGTTCAGTTAAAAAAGAAAATGTTTTGCAAGGTATAAAATGCGTAAAATTTCTTGCGCCTAATGTTGAAAGCCATTCATTAAGAAGCATTCTAAAGTTAGTGAGCATGCAAGGTAGTTGGGGAGAAAGATGTCAAAAAAATCAAAAACTTTATGATACCCAATTCAAATACACTCTCTTAAAAAAAAAAAATTCACTCTCATTTTTGTGAAACCTCAAAGATCCTTCAAAGATTGTAACAAACTTCCTGAACTCAATTGTGGAAGACTCTCCGTCAAGTCTCATAGGTAGGTAAAAGTTGAATTTTTATGCATCTCTATATACCGTGAATCAGCTGGTTTCAGTGATTTTCTCAGATTTCACAGAACTTTAAAAACAAGTTTCCAGAATACAAGAAATCAATTTTTTTGTTAAGGGAGATTAAAATAAGAATTAAATTTATCAAAAAAACAGCACAGTAGGTAGATCATTCATTCAATAGTCTCAAATTAAGAATGAAGACTGGATCTCTGGCAGTCTGGAAAACCTGGAAAGTCAGAGAATTTATTGAAAAATTTGCTGAATTTCACAAGCAGCAAGTTGGCTCTGCAACTTCAGCCAGTGCCATTTGGAACAATCTTCGGGTGTTTTTTCCATAATTTTAATCTTTGGAGGTGGAAATTTTATCCAAAGCAGTTTGGCAAAATAGTCAGCATAGAGTTAAAAGAAAAAAATGTAACTAGAAGTTTTGTCCAGAGTTACAAGACAATCAGGGAGGTTGGAAATTTTGAATACAGAAAAGAGCAAAATAATTCAAGGAAATGGAAAGGAATTATTATTATTAAAATAACCCTGCAATGAATGAGAAATAAATAATTTTCAAGTCAATTATTTGTAAGTAAGTATAGCTCATAATACATTACCTGCATTGTCTGAATCTGGCGATTTTTTTCATTCAGGATCCTTTCGTGCTCCTGAACTCTAAATTTTTGAGTCTCCAATTCTGTCAGAAGTTCTGGGAAAAATAAACAGAGAACAATTTATTATTGCAGCAAAAAACTATACTAGTCAATGGTATCATTAATCCGCCAACCTAAAAATTTCTATATATATATTAACACAAATCTGAAAAGTAGGCACCAAGGAAAATTATATTTAATATTTTTGGATTCCATCATATTGATCATTCATTCGAACCATTAATCGCTCCAATCAAAATGATTTTTTCAATCCATTTGAGAGTCCTTTAGATTGAAATAAGGAAAATTTTTGTCTTATGCATAAACTTATTAACTTACGTTGCTGCCTTTTATTCAAAACTGCCATTTCATTCTCCATCTTCGTGATCTCTGATTTATGCGCTGCTTCAAGTTTATTCATCTGTGTCTCTAGGGTTTGAATTGTTGAGTCGTAGTAAGCTCTTTCTTGCGCCATTTGGTAGGTACGAAATGCCATTGATCGTGCAATGATGTCAACTATTACGTCAGGTCTCAGCCCAGTCAGCACCATCTAAAAGTAAGAACGATCTCATTGAATGATAAATCTACGTGCAGTTATATGAGGGAAAATGATTTCATAGCTTCTGGCATGTTCATGCATATCGATGGTGAAACTACCAAACCACGTATCTCGTTTGCGGTGTCTAAAAATCTCCGCTCTCATTTTATTTTTCTGGAGGAGAACAATTCAATATCATTCCTTGAAATTTTTACAGAATTTTCTTCGCACTGAGAAGAAAAATCACGGAAGTTTTCAAGAATTGACGTTGAGTACTTTCCCATTTAAAAATTAAAGTATGGCAGGAAGTCTGCGACGTCGCAAATCGAGATACGTGGTTTGGTAGTTTCACCGTCGATATGATGGTTGACTATAGCCACTCTTTATTTTTAGTCTCTGATGCCATATTAAGTAAGTATCAAGTGACATAATTATGCCAAAGGCTAATCATTCTCCCTAATCCGTCATACAATTGAAAAAAGGTTGAGAAAAGGTAAGTACTCGGAGAGTAGCATGTAAAACAATTGGAAACCACAACCACAATTGTACCTTAAAAATTTTACGGAAAGGAGAGGAGAGGGGGGGGGGAGCTAGGGCTCATAGATTCTCCACAGCAGGGGTCTACTGGCTGGGCCTTGGGTCTGAGCAGCTGCATACCCAAGGCATTAATTTTAAGTTTTAGAGGATCAGCTTAAACTTATGTCAGACTAATTAGACTCCTTATATAATATTTTAACTTCGAACCCCCTTTTCCCTCGGTCAAAAAATGTCAATCGCAGGATGGGCTCTTTTGATTTCAATGTGTGCTCATGTGCTTGAAGTGTGTACTCAGGTTCCTTTAGACACCGTTTAGGTAACTTATTCGTCCGACTTTTCATGTAGGTATCTTTGCATCTATCGGTTTGTTGGGATCATGGCGGAGAGGGAAGGGGGCTCGTAACTGGCCAAAGCCCAAAATATACTTGGAACTGCCTGGTTTTACAAAAACAGAGAATGAGAATAATACACACCGATCTGAAAATGTCAGGAGGATTTAAGTTCTGAATAGTTGCATCGTGATTTCCCAGAAGACTTTCATTGCAAGCGGGACAAACTTGATTTTGAGAGATCATGTTACCATGCTCTTCGCAAAAGATATGAGAGCACTTTGTTACCCATGCGGACGTGAACAACGGCTTTCTACAGCCTATTAAGTTGCAGAAGAAATCTACTTCACCCATGTTAGAAACTGTTCGTGACGATAACTTTCAGTATTCGTTGATGAAGAAACTCTGTTCTCGTTTTTAGAATTACCTTAAAAAAATTCAGAAAAGAAGACCGAAAGCGCTGCGGAGAAACTTGGACATCTGCGCTTTTTTGAAATTCCATCAGGGTTACCGCGTAATCCAGCTCAAATTTTGGACGAACTATTATTTCGATCGCTCGCGGAAAGTTTGGAACCTCTATCTTTACGATTTTAAAATCATATAAATTATTCATATTTGACGATTTTTGCACCAAAAAAGGCCAGATACATGAGTAGAGGCTCAAAACTTCCTCTGAAAGCTTGATTTTCGCTCCAGCGCTTCGACAACCCTGGCACCTTGGTCCTGGCGCCTCATGTTGAAAGCCCGCCACTCGCCTCTCTCTGCACGTTTTTTCTTGCCCATGCTTGTGAGTGTGTGCGCGCTGCGAACGTTCGCAACGAGAGTCGATGCCGATGTCTGTGTGTTTCAATTGATCGCCATCTTGACTTCGCAGTCTTCGATTGGGTCTTTGAGATCCATTTCCCCCTTTTTTAGTGTAAAAGTACACAGTCTTCTTATCCATTCACGATGGATAACCAGTACGGAATTGGTGTAAATAACAGGTACGATCTCTTTCTAGCCGGAGAGGACGATTCCTTCGATATCCTTCGGTCGCGTGCTGCTACCAAGGAGCCCAAGAAGAAGAGCAAAGTTGCTGAGAAGGAAAATAAACCCATCCAGCCTGAATCCAAGTCCAAAGCCTCGACTGGCGCTCGCGAAGGAATCAAGGAGACTAAAAATTTGCAGAATGTCTCCAAGAAACCTGGTAAGTCCTCTAATGCCTTCTTATTTACTACTAATGTTTTCATGTGTTGCCCTCAGTCACCACATGCCTAAACTGTTAGATAATGATAATCAGTTATCCCAACTTAGTGACTTTCAGCTAATTTTATCTTCTCTTGATTTTCGACGCGCCGAAAGTTTCGTTGTCCCCACAAATGCCTAACATTCAGCATGCCCCCATTTTTTTGGGTCGTATTTGGATCAAGTTCGCACACCGTGCCCACCCACCAACATTACATGCCAGGATAATTTGCCATTCTCCTTGTCATCAGCCTACTTGAATGGATTGTTTTAGGTCTATGCCATCTGAATCAGCAATAGAGTCATTGGGATACCCCGAAAGTTCTTATTCGTTTTTTGCAAATCATGTGCCATGTGTAGGGGACTACACTGGAAGATGGAAGCCATTGCAATGATATCCATGCCTATTTAGGTTAGGCTTGCTAGACTTTGGATCTGGAGATGACCCTCAAAATCCCTGAACATAATAACTCCATTTATATGAGATCGGTGTCATTTTCTGTCATTCTATCAGTATGTGTCTTTGATTGTAGAAAGAAGAATTCATGCTTTATCGTGGGTTTTGCTTTGCAGCATGTGATAATGTGCTCCCAATAGGCAGGAGGGGGGGAGGTCTCAAGTATCAGTTGTATGAATGCTGAGGCATGAACTAGTGCCTTTTCATAGAGATAGGCGGCTAATGTTTATGGACTTATTGATTAGATACTTTTGTTGATATCCTGTATTGTTGACTTGATAGTAGACAGATCACTTTGACTCAGGTCTGATGTCTCAGTTCTCTATCTACTGAGCGCATGAATGCGCATGATTCAAATGACTCGCAAATCATGACTGGCTTGTGGCCTGTTGTCAGAGAGCCATGTGCCATATTTTGTTTCAAGTCACAGCACATCAATTCTTCTCAATCAAATGTCAAACCGAAATCAAAACATTCATGTCTAAACCTAGGTTAATCATTCACTGTATACCCAGCAACCATTTTAGTACGATTTATAGCCATTGATATCGAAACTTGTTTAAGAGCTGATCAATCAACCGTCTCAGCTTTTTGATAAAATTTTCAATGCCTTGTTAGATCATCATAACTTGTAAAATGTTGAGAAAAATCCTACATTTGTTAGGGGAACATGAGTAACTTGTATCCTTTTCAGGTACCTTTGATTCCCTCTCCGACCAATTTTGTTATTTTTAGGCCAACCAATAGGTACTCTCTCATAATTCTTGCAGGATCAGCATTTAATCCATAAGATCTATGGACATGAGGAACCCTGATTGTTATCCCCGTTTCTAGAGCTTAGGAAGCGATTAAGGTTATCAGTGAAATTCTGCTTTCCATCTACTATGTTGTCTTCGGAGGGTTTGCCAAATTTCTTGCTAGACTTTAGAATGAACCTTTTAGTTCAGTTTCTCTGGTATAATGAAGGCATTAAATCTCTTCTTTCTTAGGTCTCTAGCTTGCCCAATCTACATTCAGATGAGAACCAATCACCATTTAGCCTTGAGGCAGCACCCAATGACTTGATTAATCTAAAGATTCATATATTACGCAGAGATTTATTGCCAAACAATGAACGATAGCAAATCAAAATACTGTAGAAATGGAAGATTTTAAAGGAATAAATGTCTTGAATATAATGACAGTTTCTCAGTCCCAATAATCTTAAACAAAGTTGTAAGATTTTTCAATTTATTTATTGTTTTATTTTAAAACCCTGTCAATCTTTCAGATGCTGCCAAACCTGGACCTAAACCCAAGGTTGAAAACGCCAAGCCAAAACCTGACTCGGATGTTAAGAAACCCAAGTTTGACTCTGCTAAGCCAGCGTTGAAATCCGGGGATTCTCGTGAGGAGAGGAACAACCGACGAAACCAAGAAGACAGACCAGAGAGACGAAGCAATCAGAGGTTAGTCATTTATCATTTTTTTGCCACAATATTACTACTATTTCATCATATTACATCGATATTATTTTACTATATCATTATTATTTATATTTTTTTTCTATTACTCATTGCTATATTAAGTGTGTGGTTAAGGAATTTCAGTTTATCCAGCATTATTGCTTTGAATACATGCTGTAGCTGTAAATCCTTCTAATCTCCTGTTCGTGATGCAATTACCTGTGTCATAACATCTTTTAACTTTGATAATGCCCTGAATTTCAAATCATTGTTTAAAAAAACATGGACTGCTGAGCTATGTATTGAGACAAGTTATGAAATCTGGAGTTGGTTTCTGAGAAAATCGGTGGCATCATCGTGTTTCTTGCCAAATTTTACACAGGTATCAGTATTTGAATTGTCAAGTCCTGACATGTGCAAGAGCTCCATTGTCAATAGGGGTGGCATGTTCATTCTATTTTGAAACTCCAAATTTTTTGCAGAGCCACCACATTATTTTTACCTCTTAAATCCAAATGATAAGGTGTATTTTGGTTTCAAAGGTTAGTTCTTCTTTAGCAAAAGTTCCCTCGAAGTCGAAAATGTTTGGCAATTAAGAGGATGATTACAATTTTTGAGACATTGACAGTCTCAAATGTTCATTCAACTCATGTTAATGTTGTTGTTGTTTTTTCTCTCTTTTTTTATTTTTAAGAGTTTTTTATTGTAACCTTCCTAGGAGAAAATATATACAATTATCTTAATGTATGTACATAAGGGTATATGAAAGTAATAACTGGATAATTACTTATTTCTATAATGATTATAGCTTATTTCTATAATGATCATAGTTAAATGTATGGCAAAAGAGAAAGGATGACTTTTGTTATTCCTGACCAACATTTATCATCAGTGAGACGCATTTGAACCTGTCATCAAAAGATTGCATAAAAACACACGCTCAGTTACCCCGATATATGCACTTTTAACAAAGTGGGGGTTAAAGCCTTGAGTAGGTTTTAGGTAGTTAATTTATGTACTACTTAGTTGCACTTATCTTTTTCCTTCTCCTCCGACAAATTTCATGGCATCAGTTTACTTAACCGTGAGGAGTAAGCCCTTCATAGTTTCTCCAACAGACTCTTCTCTATATACCCTCTCAAGCCATCATATTCTAATGTCCGTGTTTGATTTGTTACAGTTTCAACCGCAACCGAGACGGTCATGATGGAGGCGACTCTAAACCGGACAGATTTGGTGATCGTTTCGGAGAGAGCACTGACCGACCTGAGAGACCAGAACGCCGTGAACGATCGGACCGTTTTGGTGACCGCTTTGGCGAAAATCGTGGAGATAGATTCGGAGAAAACCGTGGTGGAGATCGTTTCGGAGAGAACCGTGGTGGCAGCCGGTTTGGTGAGAGCCGTGGCGAACGAGGTGGACGCGGTCGCGGCGACCGTCCATACCGTGGTGACCGTGAGGATCGTGGAGATCGCGGAGACCGCTCTGACCGTGCTGACCGTGGTGATGGCGGAGATCGTCCTGACCGTGGTGATCGCCCAGAACGATTTGAACGTTTTGAGCGATTCGAAACCTACAAGGATGGTGAAGGTAATGAGGTTGGTGAAGGAGGCCGTGGCAGAGGAAGAGGCATGGGACGCGGTCGAGGCCGTGGTCGTGGAGGATTTGAAGGACGTGGCGGCAGGAGGGACTTTGACCGCCAGTCAAGATCTGATAGAACGTAAGAAATTTTGGTTTTTATTTGCCTCCTTACCTATGATGTAGCCATATTTTCTTTTTTTGTCCTTATTATTTAAATCATTAGGCTTCACTTTATTGTTTTGCTGATTTTACCTGTCACCTCAGTCTAGCTTTGCTTATGTCGCAATTCTCCTCTTTCTTTTTGAAGTTCTGTCCAATTTAAACCCATTCACAATCGACTAGGTAAATTCAGTTCAGTTCCCGGGGAGCAAAGTTAAATTTTTTAAATTTTGACATAATAAAGCTCTCAGCATACCCTTCTTCAACCCCCTGAGCTCCTAAAAAATAAACATAGAATTGGATCGAGTCTTTCTGGAGTATCTGAAAAGAGAATATTTCTAAGCTTAATTAATTCCTGTACAGAGAATAGCACTTACTCTTCCTCCTCAAAATCCTTGTTTCTTTGATCAAGAGAACGCTTTTGTCAATATCAGTGACAGTTGATAAGCCTTTTTCGATCTTTGGGCTCCTTCCTCTTAAGATACTTTGCTTTAAGGTATCTTTTAAGCAAACTGTGCTGTGTCTTGTAACTGAAATATTATTTTTTCAATTGCCAAGCATCTCATATCCCAATTTTTTTAAATTTTTAATTAACATCCTCCCTCCATCTGAAGCAAAAGAAAAATGACATTGCCACCATTGAACTTCATACATCATGAATCTCAAATTTTAGATCTCATTTTGTAAATCCTCATCACACCTTATCAGTTACAGTAGTTGGGAGTTGCGGCTACTTTGAAAGGATTTGCTGTAATCGCGAAAAAACCCTGACTTTTTATTTTAAACGTGCAAATCCCTCTCATCGCTGATGTCTGAAATATTGTTTCTGTCTTGTTGTAGCGGTGTCAAACCTGTAGATAAACGTGAAGGTGGCGGTTCCCACAATTGGGGCACTCACCGTGATGAGATGGAGTAAGTCAGCCCAAAATTTTTTTTTTATTTATTTATATTTCATGTACAAATTTCCTCTCTGGTTCTGGAAAAAGTGACCCGAAGATTATGATTACCGTCTTCCAATCGTTGGGTTTTGCTCTTGGTTCTGGATCATTTGTTTTCCTATTTTGAGCTCTAGTCTTAGAATTTCTTGAACTAAGTTTCCACTAAAGCAACTATTTTGCACGATCTCAGTCTCATCCAAAATGTTTGTTTACTAACAGAGTATTCCTCATACATAATGGGTTATGAGCATGACGACTCCACTAATAATAATCATCCTGTTGGCTACAACTCCCAATTTTCCTTGTATCCTTCTATTTTCTTATGATGCCTTCTTTTTTTACGTTTTTGCTTCCCTTGTTTTATTTGCCACTTCATATCACCCTTGCCAAATGCAGTGGGTATGCAGAGGTGAGGATGCTTATGTTTGTGTGTATTATGTTAGTTTTAAGTTCTGATGTTACTAGGATTTTCAAAAGATTGATCTACATGCCCCTCAACTCACTGTCTTCATCAGAGTTGCCAGTACAAGAAAAGTCTGATAATTTTCAGCACTAGCAATTTTGAGTGGTATGAGAATGAAATAATCTAAGCAGAATTTTTTTTGGAAAACTTGATTGAATTTTAGTGCTGTGTTCTACCACGTAATCTTTTCTGTGGTAGTATGAAAATTTGAAGAGAACTAGTTTTCTCTTGTGATTTAGTTACCATAGGAATGAATTTATTTTCTCAATTTTCTATGTGTCATGGGTTTCCTTCCGAAGAGGAATTGAGTTGCACATTGAGACATCAGATAGGGTACGAATTGAAGCACTCCTTTACATTCTCTTTAAAATTTTAGATGAAGGAAATGACTCGGGCACAACATCGATTTCCCAAGAAGAGAAGCAAGTCTTGTAATTAATGTTAGGTGACCAAAACACAAACGACGAAATTAGTACAATTTGTGTGCTATCAATTGAGTGATATAATTCCCTTTCATACTATGCTAAAACGTTGATTCTCAAACCTCAGATTTTGTTAATCGCATTCAGTTTATACCAAGTGCTTTTTGCTTTTAAGTTGGTGAGGGTGTTATTTCTGGATGGTTTTCCTATGAAAATCTTAGAATTTTATTTTTGACTCTGGATTTAATAAACAAACTTTTCCTTTTCAGTGAAACTGTTAACAACGGCTCAATGAATGAATCGATTGACTGGAGTGGTGGTGGTGGAAATGCTGATGACAGTGCCAACACTAACGATCAAGGCGGAAAACGGTTAGTTAATTTATCACCTCAAACATACAAATACGTAAGTCGGCAAATCCGATATTCTAGATCCTTGAAAAGTATGAGTATCAAGGTCAGAACATCTATTCTTCAGGAAATTTACGAAGATTTTTCTCTGAAATTTTTAGATACTATGGATGAAATTTTGTACAAACTTATCTAGAGAGTAGAAAGAAAAACTAGTTCACTAGTTTCTTTAAAAATTTGTATTGTATCAGAAGAAATTTTGCAAGATTCGGAAGTTCATATAATACTTGATACTTTCCTAATTTAAATTCGGATATGTTTGCGTTTTTGCAGAAACAGGGACGACCAGGAACCGACTACCAATGGCGATGCCCAGGAACCACCGGAACCCAAAGAATTGACTCTTGAAGAATGGAAAGCGCTGAAAGGAACGCGAGAAAAGCCCCAATACAATATTCGTAAGGCTGGAGAAGGAGAAGACTTAACCCAATACAAGAACATGGTCGTTTTGAACAAAAAAAGTGAACCAGTCAAGCCCAGTATAGAGGTAAAGTTTTTGAAGTTCCTTTTATCAGCTGAGAAGCTTAATTGCCTATCAGACCCAAAATGAAAATTTTTACAGGAGCCGTAAGGCTCAATTCACTACTTAGTCTGTCTGGTCATTTGCTGGGAGGTGAAATGCCACCCTGAATAACGTCTGGCGATTTTTATAAAGCTCTCCAAAGCAGATATCTAATCACGTTTGGCAGAAAGGAACCAAGCCCCATCAGCAATGGGCAAATTAAATTTTTAAATAAGAACGTTTGTGCGGATTCCTTTGAAAATTGTAAGGAATTTACTTTGTATTATGCAGAGAATGCACTGGAATGTTCACAAGTATCTGCACAACCGTTTTCATGTAAAAATTAAACTGCCCAATTAAATTTGGCAATTGCTGATATGGCGTGGTTCCTTTGCGCATAACCAGTCCAAATGAGAAGCTTTGAATTATTTCCGTTCGTGTGGTTTGTTTCCAGTCATTATACCCACCTTCAGTAGGTTGGATCTGGAAAATATGGAGATATGTACTGGAATAAAACAAGGAGTAAATAATCTTTGGTAAAATCAGCGATTTGGTGTAACAAACTAGGAATTTCTTTTTTCACCATTCTGATCCTTTGTCAGTAAAAACTTGAAGATATCAGGAAAACTGGTCACAGATCAGGAAATTCCGAGTACTTCAACCATTTTTGAAAGTTTAGCCTTTATGCTTATGCTAAAGAGAAACATTTGATTCAATTCATTGGCTGATCGATTGTATAATGAAACAAGTGTCTATCTGCTCCAAAAAATCGGGAAATTTCATTCTAAATATCATAAAAATCCAAACTGAAATTGTAGTGGACACTCTTGACTTCATCAATCAACTTGGTTGTCTACGTTGACCAGTTGCTATGAAATGACCCAAAAGATGAAAAATATCATCAGTTGATCCCTGAAACCTCCAGTTTTTCCCCAGGGTACCTTGGGAAAGGTAAGAGGTGTCCTCAGGTGTGCGTCCGAGATTTGCCTCTCAAAAACTGGGTACACTAGTGATTAAGAAAACTTCAGAATTCTAATCAGCATGCTTTGGACTTCTTTTCCTTCCTTCAATTTGACCGATGTGCCTCAGTATCAGTACCAGGATTTTTTTGGCCCTTATAAGCTTCCCCTTTCTTCAGAGCTAATTATTTTTTTGTTGAACTTTGCAGCACCCGGAGGAACCAGCACACAGTAAGCAGAGTAGCAAAAGGCAAAACGTTGTGGACATCAACCTTCATTTCAGTGACAACCGGACTTTACGCGGCAGAGGTGGACGTGGTGGCGGCCGAGGGCGACGCACTGATGATACGAAGTTCCAGGTAAAAAAATAGTTTCGAAATGGATTGGAATAGGACATTAGAAAATTCAAGGATCTTAGAATAGTGAATACAAGTGGAGTTCATCAGACTTAGTGGAAGGGGTAGTGCAATCCACCGTAAGTAAGTAAGGACGCATATGCAAAAAGTTGATTTCGCTACTAAACAGTGTAGGAAGAAGGGGCTCAAACATTTTTTGGGGAAGGTAGAATCAGGTGATATTGTAGACTATTATTTCAGTGTAGCAGTATCTTAACCGTCCATGGTATGGTGTTACTCATACGTAACAATGCATTTTCTGGTGCTTTTATTTTTTTTTTGTGAAGAATTGAATCTCTTCCGTAGCATGAATTTTAAAAATTTTTATCAGCATTTTCTTTTTTGAAAAAATGATCACACAAAATTTGAAATCGTGCGAGAAAAAATTTGTGATTCAATGTTTTCACGAAAGTTACAACGCACATACGTTCCACCTACAATCCTAAATAATTCACTCCATGCCTAAAGGGTTCAAGATATTTCGCAATATTTTTTCAACTGAATGAAAGATCCTACCTGGTAATTTTTTCCTGGTTTCATAAATTTAAAACCAAAAATAGATTAAATCCATGCAAGGAATACCTTCTACAGTTTTCAGGAGATTCTAAAACAACTTTTAAACTAAAATCACGTTAATAGTATTCCCAAAATCATTAGAATTTTTATGGTGGTGAAGAATACACAAGACTCTAGAGGTTTTAAAGTGCTTGAGCTCCTCTGAAAGTAAACAATTTATCTCTGGCCTTCATACCTAAGTTTGTGGCATTGTTTTCAAGGGAGGAGTTTAATTAGCAATAAAAGTTGTCTATTTCTGTTGATTATTTTCCTTCTTTGATCAAATTATGTAATAACCAATCATCAATAACAATAATCTACAATCGTTTTCTTTGTTTTCTTTATTACAGCAAAACCGCGAGCCAAAAGTACCGAAACAGAGTGCCCCGAAAGTAGATGATGAACACGATTTCCCATCCCTCGGCTAAGACGGAGTGACCAGCACATAGTTTCCTGTCGTTTTTAATTACATCAGAAAGTCCGCTAGAATCCACGGTTAGCGTTGATCAGAAGCTTACCCAACGACGATCCTTGCAAGGGCTCTTTCCTTGCTTGGTCCATACCTCCCAACCAATCAATGCATCGCATTTTTTTTCCTCTTTCTTTTGTGAATAAGCTAGTTCCGTACTAATAACCCCCCCCCCCCCCCNAACTCAAAAACTTATTTTTCTAATTTTATTTCAGTTTGATTGTTTTGAATCAATGACAAATTGACAAGGTTACTGCTAGGTTTTGTGCATTTTTGTTTGTGTTTAAATGGCCTCTGTGAAAATTCTGAAGGACTCGTTAATTACGGATTCAAATTCCAACACATTCATTGATGAGGTTTTTATAGATCAGCATCTCTCAAAATAAAATTAACATTCAAGAGGTGCCATCAATTTCTGCCATCCCCAGATTTCCAAAAGAGGAAGTCCCTTATTTGATTCAAGACCCTTTGATCAGAGTGTCTTTTTCCCATCATGTTAACCCTCAGTACTAATGCAATTTGTGGGAACGTAAATCCCTCACAATTTTTGCAGTGCCTTTAGTTAAGTAAACATTTCATCTTACGAGCAACCATAACGTGCTCATTTTATACGTCTAACATTTATTTAAGTCGCCAAAAAGTTTTATCAACATCTAATTATCGTCTTAAAAAGTGTTTGTTTGTTTTCGTTTTTAATCATTCTCTCGTGCGTTCTCTCTCCGTTCTTACTTGTGCAAATATTTAATTTATCCTATACATCTTAACCCTAAAGCAAAGTTTCATTCATTTGTTTATGTATCCAGTAAGGCTCTCGATTTATGAAAATTGTAAATTTGTGTAAAAAGTTATTGTTTAGTTAATTATAGATGAATTTCAATTACTACCTAGGGAAGGGGTCTTTGAAACTTGGAAAGAATGAGAAGTATAATTCTGTACGATAATTTAAGTTGAATGTAGCTTCCTGCCAGGATCGCTAGGGTCTCTGCATGGAGCTCGTTCGAGTAGCTGTTTAAACGCTTTGGTTCTACTGTTTTATTCATACGTAGTCTTCACTTCAGGCACCCTTCAATACAGTCGTGGTATCATGGCTGTCTTGAAGTCGTTATTTCTTTTGAACTTCATTAATTTCATCAGATTGTCAAGTTGATCATCTACAGGTTGATGAGAATTGGTCACTCTTTCTCCTCACAAACCTCAGTTTCGGCTAAACGGCTGCAATTTTTTTATTTCAGAAATACAAGTATGAATCAGCCTAAGGTTGTGTATTATGGCCTGTTCCATTTGTACTAAAGATAACCATTTATTGAAGTCAGCACTGATTGTTTTCCTCCAACCCTCACTTCGAGGCTATCTCCAGCTTAAAGCTCTTATTTTTCGGAGCTAGTTCGAGTGGTGTGGTGGAAGGTTTTTTTATTTTTGGAAATTTTCGGCGGAGTGCATCTGGGTGACTATGCGGTACACATCATTTGATAATGTATAAAATAGATCAGAGTATCTCTGTTTTTGATCTTGGATTTAGGTGGCTGTCCTTGTTTAACAAGAAGGGTCCTGGAGGTCCCTAAAAGCACTCTAATCACCGTGGGAAAGTGTTATGAGTGAATGAAGAGACAAATTTTGTTCAGAGAATTTGACATTCAAGGTCATCCCTTTGATAGGACTTGCTTCAGTCTCTAATCTTACGCTTCAGTCATGTCTCATATTTTCATCTTATTGTTAGTCCGACAGTATATCTTGCGTCCGTCAGCAAAAATTCAGTTGTCAAAGAGAGACTTTACATAGTGCTCTCTCCGTTAAATCTGGTCGATTATGTCTGTGAAGGAGAATTATATCCAGTTCTTCTGGTTAAAGTTAAAACTGATTGATGCTCAGTGCATGGATAAGGAGCAGGGTCTCTTGTTTTATTTTCTTCTTGAGTTCTATCCAATTGTGGGTCCGAGTGGAAATCTTGTGGAATGACCCCAGATTGCTGTAAATCGTTTTCCTTTTCCTGTGTTGGCTCACTGATTTGTAGTGAACGATTTGCTCCAGTTGTGAGATTAACGATTGTTTACCGAGGAAAAGTTGTTTTCTCTTGCCAGCCGCAGAATGCATGCTTCAGCCGCAGCCCATTCTCTCTACTACGGTTGACTTCCTTTCTTCTTGCTCAGTTGACCGATGGTGTTAGAAATTTTCCAACTCATCGAAATTTTTTTTGCAAGTTCGACTTCTCTTCTGGAGAGGCCGGCTGCGCTCTTGTATCATATTGTTTCTAGATTAGTTTATTTTTCTAATTGAGAGTTTTCGTTGGCTTTTGAAGACTATGAAACGGAAAAGAGAAAAGAACTGTGAAAAGGGATTGATGATATAATTTATAGCAACAGTGATAGGAATGCGAAGACGTCCTAGGCGCAATGAAGCAATGTTGGTGTAAGAAATGATCGAAACAGCCAAGTTGGCTTGTCAAGTTCTGGATTTAAGTGAAAATCCACTTGTCAGTCATTCAGTGTACGTATTTTCTTATTTATGTATTAATTTTTTCTCCTACATATTATTTATTTCCATTTTCCCAGAAGATAGGAACGGTTTATTTTGTTGAGCATGATATCTAACGAAGTGAATTGTCAAGTGATATTTTCCCGTGTAAAGCTAAGTTCCGGTTTTTCTTTTCTCCTCTGTCCTGTCTTTTGTTTTGTTTCTATTCTCTGTGAAGCAAGCACTGAGCAGTAGAAAATGCACTGTTTAATGAAACATACTTTTTATTCGATTCATGACTAGTGTAATCTTTATTTTTGCATTGACTTAAAATAGTTTAATGTTTTTATTTTTTGAATTGTGCTAGATTAAAAGCTGAAATGAATTAATGTCGATCAATTGTATTTTACAAGGCCTTTTTTTTCTTTCTCCCCTTTTCCTCAGTACTTGAGATATTTAACTCTCTACGATAATTTGTTGACCGAAAGATTTTGTGTCGACATTTCAATAGACTGAGTATTCCAATTTTGTGCTGCTATCTAGATTCATACATACTTCAGAGTTCTGAAGAATTCATTTTTCTAATTTCTAGATATAGAGTTACTTCCAAGCAGCTTTTTAACTGTATCACATTTAACAGAAGGGATCCTAACTCAATTACAGTGTTATAAAAATCTTAATCTCCATCTAATAAATGCGTCAAATGAATATAAGGTTACTTTTTCCATTATGAATTGTTAAATATAGAGGATAACCAATGTGCAAACTTGGTTACAATGCATTTCATTCTTTATACAGCAATAAAGAAGTTTTAACAGTTCTAAAAAAAAACTATAATCGAGTTAGATCCCTTCTATGAAATTCAGTCAAACTGTCCTTGCCTCCGGTCTCTTTTCAGCGTTTCTAAAAACTTCTCACAGACCAGAGGATTACATCTCACTGTCAATTAAAGGGATATTGGGTGACAAGTATTAGGAATGAAGTCGCAGATAAATTCTTCATGTAAATTTAATCACAGCCTAGAAAGGATTAATAACACTTTCCTCACATTTCTTAAAGTAAAAATTACAATAAAAGCAACAGAGGAAAACATTTCAATATTCATGCTTATTTCAAAATAATTCATCTGCCAATCGTCCATCAATGGACGGCAAACAGACGCAGCATAAAAAGTAAAAAAAAGAAGAGATAAAACATTAATAAAAGTGCTAAAGAAAAGCGAGGACCAACAGCCAATACCGCTAACTGACAATTTTAGCAAAAATGAGTTAGCGACTTTGCCGCCTTCTACAGTAAAAAATATGCAAGCTGATGATTTTAATTTTTTTCCTGTTCTGTGGAGGAGCGCTTCAATAATGCTGTATTGTATGAAAAAATTACAAAGCCAACCTTAAAATTACAAGAGTGGCGAAAATTTCTCTTCTTCTGCGAAATCGTCAGTTTGCAGATAGGCGGTATTGTTTGTTAGCCATCAACAGCCAGAACAGCATAATGATCTCAGTAACTTCTGATCACACTTGAAAAAACAAGTACAATTATTTGTTTCACCTAAAATGTCGCACTAGAGTTTGATGAATTCTATCTTAATTTGTTAAAACATTGAAACTGAGGTTGTGAAAAATTTCCAAAATCATGAGGAAAGATGTACAATTCTTTCAAGAAGGAATTCGCTTTCTTCAGACATCATGTGTCCCCATCTATGGACTTAAACATACTCAGAGCAGCAGGCTGATCATTGAAACTTGTGGCATCAGAGTCAAGACAACAAAAATTGATGGTACAGATACAACTAAGTCTCGTCATATTTTGAGGACAAAGCAAGAAATAGTTTCAGCAATCGGCCTACAGATTTTGTTGGGGCTCATGGGCTGCTACTAGAGATAGCAGTCAAAACTTATTGCAGACATAATAGACAAAGATAGCACGTGACAGGCAAAATGCAAATCTTCAGTAAGTGGAGACAAGAAAAAAAAAAAAAAAAAAAAACATGTAGAGTTATGTACTTCTAGTGATCATTGTAAGGAGGCAGATTAGATTTTGTCCGTTAGGAACAATTGGGTTAGTCTACTCGCATGGGAGTCCATCTTAAAACATGAAAAATTGCATTAATGTCTGTAAAAAACAGAGATTCATCAGAAAAAACATAGATATTTCAATGATTCAACTTACTACCGAGTAGAAAAAACATGCTTAGGTGGTAATTACTTTGGGAAATAAATTATATTGATTTGAATAGACTGTCAGGAAATGACAGGACAATTTTTAAAGGACAAATGGACTTGCAAGAGATGAATGGGAAACATGCTGGTTAACTATAACTACCGTCCCAAGCTATCATTGGCCAGGAACACATAAATCAATTTTGAGCTCAATATTTTTAGTTGTACACTGAAATCTTAGTATTAAAAAAACATGCTAAAAATTGCACGTTACCTTCATCACAATGATTATTTTTTCCCCTCAATGATTAGTTACTCTAACAATATTCAAAAACACCATTTTTGACAGATTCGATTAACAAGAAGAATGCAAACACATTTAAGGATAAAAAATTGAAAAAATCGAACTAAGAAACAAAAAAATATGTCAAAGTTGAATCTGTGAGAAAAAAAACATACCAACTCGGAAACTTAAAAAAGCCACAATTTCATTGAAGATGCCCAGTTTCCATAAAAGCTACGGAAAATAACACTCTTTTTCTTTTCTTTTTTTTTTTTTTGGTCTCTTGAACACTTTCATTTTTCCGAGTTGGTGTGTTTTCATCCTCACTGATTCATTTATCTCCACCCTAAGAGGTTTCAGATAAAAACTAAAATACGACATTGGAAACCAGATTATTTCAGCAATTCCAATGTTTGGACCATTTTATCACTGATACATATGCCTCAACACAACGATCAATAATGGTAAAAAGATGTATCACATATGATACCCCAGCAACTTCCTATTTATAAACGAAAGTGTGAATTAACTAGGTATTGTGTTATACTGCTAAATACCTGCAGGACATTTTTTTTTCGTACGAACACTTAACCAGAAAGTTTCATTCTTCATTTTCTTTCTTTGTTTCCTGAGGCATGGAATAACAGATAAAATACAAACCAAAAAATTCAATGGTTAAAAAGAGAAAAAGTTCGCTAATTTTTACTTTGACAACTCGAACTTAGCATGATCAAAAAAAAATCTGGACTCCTAAGTATCGACTACTGACTTGCATAAACTATACAATTGCACTAATTGAATTACTTAAACTAGAAAGTAGGAAAGTATATTACATTACTTTACATTTCAAAAGTACGCAATAAAAGGAAATACATATCAGCCTCCAGTAATACAGACAATTTTTGCAACATTTATTGCATTTCTTAAATTTGCCTTTTTTTCTTACCTATCACAAGAATTCTCAAGAAACATAAACAGCAGAGGCTGAATTTACGATGTTGGCTCCCAAGTTTGCTAGCAAAACCATGTTTGGAAATTTGAACTAGAAAATAGATAGCAAAACAATTTTTGATGAATGCTGACTTGTTGTAATTGTCACATATTTCGTTGCTCGTCTATTGTGAGGGTGTGTCTTCATTTCCTTGTTAGCCGCGGAAGCATGTTATATAGACAACAGGGCTGACATAAAAATGAAGATACACCCTTAAGCCAGACGCATGATGATTTGCCTCCTACTCATTTCAAAATTTAGTGGCATAGTGCTAAAAGAATTATAATACCACAAAAACACAAGAAACTTCTGGCATGAAAGAGTGTAGCTGGTCTTGGCACATCATAAACAGTTAGCACCCTGCCTCCTCTTGAAATTGCTTCAGGGTTGCCGCAGAATTTAGAAGATGAAATTCCCTGACACATTTTGGTGAAATTCCCTGACAATTGAAGATATGCCAGATGGTGAAAATGACATAATTACAGATGATTTTCAGGCGAATTAGATGTTCAAAACGTCAAGCCTTTCTTAGAAAACAAAGAAAAAGTGACTCAAGCCTCTTTCCCTGATATTTTCATCATTTTCCCAGACATTTCCAGGTTTTCCCTGACTTTTAAAAATTCCCTGACATTTCCTGGTATTCCCTGAATGTGGCAACTCTGTTGCTTGCAATTTTGAGTGCCAGCTGTGTGAGCACTCCGGAAAAACCCAAATTTCACTAACTTAAGAATAAAATGAACAGAGTTAGCTAAAATCTTTATATTCTGAATACATAATAATTTCTACTTGCTGTTATGTCTCTCTAACTAACGTACCTTAAAAGATCTCTCAATGGGCCAGTTGCGCTACTCACAGAATCGTGTTTTGATGCTCGATTCTTATAGATGATCATCACCATGACACTCGGTTGAAAGCAAGGTGGAGGAAACCAAGGGTGTCACTACCGCAGTGAATGACGTCAAAAATCTGACTTTTCAAAGGGCGATACCACAGTTAATATTGAACGTAGAAAGTTGCGGTTTCGACATATCTAATTATTTTTACCCAATCTACAACAATCAAGCATCAAACCACAATTCTGTGACCAGCGTAACTGACCCATTCAAAAAGAAACATCCTATAACGAAATTCCAGTAGTAGAGAAAGTAAAGATACACTGTATTATGTACATGTTCCCTTCTAAAATTTCTTGTACAGTAATAACTACCCTCACACCAGGAAGTTTGACAATCAACCATTGATAAGATATGAAGGTACTTAGGCAGAAAAAACTGATGTCAAATGTGAAGGTGAACATCGATATGAGAAGTTGATTCTCAAAATTAACTCCGTGTGCATTGCTTGCTGACAGAAATTTTGAAGAAATTACATGTGACAGTGTAATTCAATCCATTCGCAGTTTACTGATTCATTGCTTTCGAGGGGTTGACAATGATTGATTCTATTAAAAAATGAAAAAAATTAAGATTCTACTTTCTTCTTCGACAGGAGAGCACATATGGAGATTAAAGGTCAATTCTAGGACGATACTGCAAGCGTAGTGGTGGGTCACGAAACCTCCAGCGGGTAACATACACAAATTTCAAAGTATGATCCTTTCCTAGTAATTCATCATTACACAAAATATCAATCTGAAAAAATGCAACAGATATATTAAAGTAATGAATGGTACAGCTGTAAAAACATACATATTAATACAGAGCCATTAGAAAAATGAAAACAAATAATAAATGCCTTGAAATCATGACCACTGAGAGGTAAGACGAAGGTTGAAACCGTAATGGAAGCCTCTCTAGGATTATGCATTTTTTAATATGAGGGTCATCCTAAAAGTCTTGTGCGTTTTGCTCTCATTTCAAAAGTACTAAAGATAGGGAAAATCCGATTGAACGTTCATATGAGGCATACTCTCAGCTTTAATTTTTATCAAAGCCCAATTTTTTTAAAATCGGATGAACGAGACGCTAAGGAGGTCATTTCTCCCGCGCCGGCTTTGATACTTTTCCCGCTACCTCCAGGCGCATGGTTTCTGTGCTTAGTAAGATGTTCGGGCGATTTCAGCCAATCTGATCCAATCGCATTGAAATCCTTATGAATATTTTTTACCAGGTTGTTAACCTATGCTGTTTTTTAGGCCTTTAATGATGAGTGCAATCAGTGTTCTTATGACATTTAAGTAAGCTTATTGTGTAAAGTATGTTATGTAAAGTTATGGCAGTTTCAAAGCCAAAGAACTGTGAAGTTCCATCAGTAATTTTTGACTTTGGAAGGTGTTAGGCCATGTGACATTATTCCCAGACTTCAAGCAGTTTTCGGAGAAAATACAATGAGCGATGGAAATGTCCGGAGGTCAATCCAATCGTTTCGAGATGGAAGAACAGAAGTGCACGATGAATTCCGAGATGGCAGGCTAAGTGTGATTGATAGTGTCTTAGTGCAATGAGTCAACGCTTTTATCTGCTAAGATAGCCGAATGATTCTAAACAAAATGCTCAAATATTCTCCTGTTATATCTCGATCTGTCTTGCATCAAATCGTTCATAAATGGTCGAATTAAAAAAATTTGAGCCAGGTGGATTCCGAAAATGCTAGCTTACCACGCGCCTGGAGGTGGCGGAAACGCACCTAAGGCGTTGCGGGAGAAATGACATCCTGAGCGTCCTGTTTATTCCATTTTCAAAAACTTGGGCTTAAATTAGTGCTGAAAGTATGCCCATGTGGACATCTAATCGGATTTTTTCTAGCTTTATAATTTTGAAATGAGAGCAAAACGCGTAAGACTATTGGGATTACCCTCGTATTCATGATTAAATTAAGAGCTCAGAGATGCAATAATGCAATATTCATGACTGAAGTCGAAAAATTCATATATCAGAATACGACATTGTAAGTCTCTACTGGTATTTTACTTTTTTAATGGAAAACCAAACGGCAATTCCTACTAAAAATTTTTGGGAGTTCTCTGAAAAACGCACACAAAATTGCAAGGAAACATTTTGAATAATTTTCTTTCAAGAAAATAAATCCCCAATTAAAGATTCCAATTACAATACGTATTTTTCCTAATTAGCAATTGATGTACTAGTTCTAAAACCATGAGAGATAATATTTTCTCAACTGGTAATTTTTGATAAGTTCAACAGTGAGTTGATTGCCTTTTATTCTTCATTTTATTTATGACGATGAGCGACAATCAATTAACCTGTTTTTAACTTCCTAATTTTTCACAATCCAGCTATTACGAAGACTTGGTGACTATTGGTGACTTGGTTTGGCATTCTTATGAATAAGTGAAAATGCTGGGCGACTATATTTCATATTGCAATATTGTCAGAGTGCACTACAACCGTGTTGCACTACAATCCTTTCAGTCTTGATAATTGGCCATCTAGCAAAGGATAGAGTGACCTCTTTCAAAAACCTAGGGGCTTGTAAATTAAGAGGCTTGAAATTAATTTGTCACAATTTTGAATACCTATGTCCCAGGCAACCTGGTCAATGTCTACACTATCATGAGGTAGTCAATACATTAAGTAAATGGCTGTTAGATTGCCAAAACAGTTAAAGATCTTAGTGATGGACACAAAAATTCTGCGGAAGGAATTGGTGCAAACTATAAAAACTGAAAATACTTACATCACGATACTTTTCCATTCCATCCAGCACTTTCTTTGCTATGAATTTCTTCAAATGTGTAACTGTAGCTTGAGAAGAGAGCCTAAGGTACTTCCGTTTCAAAGATTTCAAATTGGTTGCTGTGCATTCTAAGCCGACATTGACCTGAAAAGTTAAAGAGAGGGTGAGAACAGTAAACTTTAGTATTGATAAACCTGGCGGGCCATTACAGAATTACTAAATTAAATGAGGCAAGATATTTGACCTCCTCACCCTCCATATTTTATGCATGTGGGAGTGATTAGTGCATTCCCCACGCACCCATGTGCGAAGTAAAGCATGTTTTCTATTGGTGTTATAGGTTCTTTCAAAATTAGGCAATCAAAGATGTAATGAGACATTGAGTGCAGAGAGAGCGCTTCTTGGTTGCTGTGTTTGAGAATCCCTACAGTCACGATCTAATTATGAGAGAATTTTCTTGAAGTTTTCGTTTTGAGCATGGTAATATCATAGAAAATATTCAGTAGAAGTTTCAACGCGCTTTGATCACAATGGATTAGCTGAGGTAACCGCAACCAAGAAGTGGTCTTTCTGCACTTAGTGCTTCTGCTGGGCTGATTCCAGTTAAATGGACCACTAGACAAGGTACTAAGTTACACATTCTGATACATGTTTCTCAACCAAAATTTAACGTAGAACACGATTCGTGCGACAAAAATTACTCGAATTGACTCCTAACCAAGATATTTAATGCTTCTTGATGCGTGAATTCAAACCTCTTGCTCATGAAAACACGATGGTCTATGTATGTCAGATCGCAAACTGAACATTATCGTGGCAATCTCTGCGATACAAAATATAGCATTCTCAATCTGGATGCTTTGACTTAGCTATAGTAAATTATTTACACTTTGAACAATAAGGGGTGGACAATGAACAATGCTTGATTGAGAACCCTACCAAAACCGTCGTAGTGTACAATTTGACTGAAGTAGAGTATTGTGTATCTAGTAAGCGGGCAATTCAAATTTCCCGTAACTAATGTAAAATTAGAATTTTAATATCATAGTTAGGAGTTGATTTCAGTAATTTTTTATGCAAAAATCGTCTTCTGCAAGAAATTGTGGTTAAGAAATGGATTGCATTTTGCAAAAAGGAACCACTAGCACTGCAATGATGCTAAGATTGTGCAACTTCATCCTTTGCAATAAAATTGCGGAAATTGTGAAAAACTATGAAATTCAGATGGTAATTTTTGTCTTAAATTTACAGTTTTTAGCGAGTAAAATAGAAACTATTAATGGATAATCGGGTTTTTCCTCCAAGACAAAAGAAGTTGCACAATCTTAGCAACATTGCAATGCTAGTGGTTCCTTTTTGCAAAATGCAATCCAAATATGTATCAGAATGCTTTAATTCGTACCTTGTCTAGTGGTCCATTCTTCCAAATCATGATTAGAAAATCAAATGAAAATTGGACTTTGTTCCAATATATCAACAAGAGAAGAACTTTACTTGAGGGAATAATGAACAAAAAATATTCAATGATGAAAATTGTGCGATTGAAAAGCTCAATATTGTTTTGTTTTTTACCTGTTCATCCATTCGGTGGAAGTCTGCTTCAGCTACTTGCTCTACAACTGGTTTCTCTGGTTCAAGTTCAGTACCATTTGGAAGTAGATCTTTGGGACATGGAAGACCACGGATTCTGTAAAATTCTTGCTCTCGTTTCAATTCATCTGCAAGAGGAGTAAATATTAATGTTAGAAAAACATAATCCAAAAATTTGAAAATTTCCCTAGATCCATAAAACTAACTTCGTATCTATCTTATTCTATCTTAGAATCCATAAAAAAAAAAATAAAAAAATATTAATGTATGGGGTTGTATTAGCTACAATATTTGGATTGCATTTTGCAAAAAGGAACCACTAGCATTGCAATGTTGCTAAGATTATGCAACTTCTTTTGTCTTGGAGGAAAAACCCGATTATCCATTAATAGTTTCTATTTTACTCGCTAAAAACTGTAAATTTAAGACAAAACTTACCATCTAAATTTCATAGTTTTTCACAATTTCCGCAATTTTATTGCAAAAGATGAAGTTGCACAATCTTAGCATCATAGCAATGCTAGTGGTTCCTTTTTGAAAAATGCAATCCATTTAACAAGAAACTGGATCTTGCTTTAAGAAACAAAATGGAAAATAGCCCATTCATTTCTGAAAACGTCTTTGAAAAAGGTACCTACATATTTTTTAAAGCTTTAAGAACTTAAAACTTTTTCAAAATAAACTGATTCCTGTCTAAAGAAAATCAAATAAAATCTTTTACCATCTCATTTTTAAAAGCTCTCTTTCCAACCCATGAAAATCAAACTCGAGTATTCTGATTGCTTTACTCCTAAAATGGAACACGTCAAGCGGTAAGTAACCAAGTCATATTAGTCACTTCCAAATGTAATCAAACAGTCTGGTTTTCTACCATAGAAAGGTTGTACAGATGTTTTTGAAAATTTCAGGAATTTGACTTCCTGCCACTAAGGGAATACCCTGCAATTTTTAAAAGAATCTAGATACACTATCGTTCCTCTGTATGAAAAATAAAACGTCCCATGAAATTTGTCAATGGCTGATGTGACTTGGTTAGTTTTTGCTCAACATAGTCCAAGTCTGCATGTCTAGGCAGAAAGAGTCTGCAGCTGTTAAGCTCCAGTCTCAAAATTGACCGCTGTTTAAATTTTGCGATATTGTGTTCAATGAATTGTATTCGATGGTGGTTCGATGTATCATTCGGTTCAAAATAGTAGAACATACCTCAAACCAAAATTGTAGGATATTTGTCAGAAAAGCTGAAAATGAGAAATTTTGTAGCTATCACGTAGCAATTTCACTTCTCTTAACCAATAAGTACTCATACAAATTGAAAATCTATCACAAAAACCCGTTCTGTCAGATTACTCAATTGACTTTTGAGGCTACGTTTATGATTTGAACCGATCGATATTGATACAATTTCACCCGTTTGATGTAGTTTGATGTATCAAATACAATCTACATGAGAGGTTCTTACTTTTCTGCAACTGAGGAACTAGTTTATAGACGATATCTTGCATAGTTCGATCGAAGCTGATATACTGAAGTGGGTGAGACTGATGGATCACGATCTGGCATTGTGGGCAGGTGTTATTTTCTTCCAAGTGCTTCACAAGACAGCTCTTACAAACTGAAAGAAAAAATGACAATAATGAATGCAGGAGCAAATAAATTGACTTACAGGAAAAGATGACCGATCTACATCTGTAAGTGAGGATTACTTTCACTTAGGCCCTCAATGGACACATGAAATTGCTTGAAACTACTTCTAGTAGCCCCATCGATTGTAGGAAAACGATTTACTTTTGCTGTTTCTTCTCTTATTTATTCTAGGTACGATAATAATCCACGGTTGAATTTTGAGTTACAAATTGCTCTTGAATCAGTTACGTATACCTTATATGATGACAGTAAATTCCTTTTTGCCACTTCACAAAAGTGGCTTTTCACTGCGAAGAATTGCAGGACAACATCCTATAGAAACAAGACCTTACTGACTCAAGATCAAGGTGTGTCAAGTAATATTCGCTCTTCATAGTTCTTGGACATTGTAGTCGTTGAGTGAATGGTTAACTCTATCTACATCCACATTTTTGGGTTTCCTTGCATATTTTTCCTACTCTAAAGGTCATTTTCCTCCGTTCATTATTACTTTCTGGAGTCAGTGACAAAGTTGGTCATTGATTCATTACCATTACCATGACAAGATCCCAAGCTTTAACCAAGGCTGGTGCATGGTAATTGAATTCAGGGGGGAAAAAGGACTGAGGTCATGACGACCTGAAGCGCGTCGATTGAGAGACAGCCCATTCATTGGTTTGCACAATGATTTACGTTGAATGGTACTCTTTTATCATGCGAGTTCCTTCTGGTCTCTCATTCCCCAATTCTAATTTCTACTGACGCCTCGCATTCTTTGCAATGGTGGGAAGATACACAGATTTTTGCACTTGTTTATCCAACTTTTTGAGGAAAAAGTCTCCAGAATAACCTATGGGATGCTAAACTTGGGCAGATACTTACAAGTGTGCAGGCATTCCGTCACAGTGGTTGCGTCCACCAGATAACCCTGACAAATTTTGCATGTGATGTACTCATTCAGCGATTTGAGCTTTATCTTCCGCTCCATTGTAGAATGAAGCCTTGGTGTGGCTGGTTGTGGTCACAAGGAGACTACTTCTAAAATTGAAACAGAAATACGGCATATGACTGTCGATAGGCTCCCAGCAAAGGCTACTTCCCACCTGCTGGGATTACGCTCCATGCATCAGAAATCATTAGGCATGAAGAAAAGGGATGGAGAGTAAAAATCAATAAATAAGTAATTTTTATGTACTGAAAACGAAATGTAATGAAGATTAGGAGAGAACTAGGCCGATATTTTGAGAGGGGATCACCAGAGCTTCGCAGGTTGGTGGTCACCGACACCGGTTAAATTGACTTTTTCCGACACAAAAAAACAAATCACGTCACATTAGGATGGCTTGCGATATGTGAAAATCTGACGGGAAGCACTAATTATCGCTCCTGATCAAAAAATTTGAGGAGAAGAAGTGAAAAGTCGACCTAGAAAGCGAGAAGACTCGCTGGCTGATTATCACTGATTGTTGTCCGAATATCCATCGATCACAACCTCCTGGATTTGTGGTAGTTGGTGAGCGCCGAAAATGGCGCGAGTTTCGAAATTAGTGTGTAGGTGTAGCAGTGCGAACCCTGAATCGTAAAAGCAACACTAATTTCGTCTAAAACGAGAACGCTCCGCTACAACCAAGAGTTTGATTTAATCAATATTGAACTTACTCAATTTTATATTCTGATGGCCTCCCAAATGCCATGCATGAATCCGGAAGAAGGGTAGGGGGGGGGGGGGCTGACATCAAATTCAGATTTTTCTAGTCTTACGGAAGGGGGGGTTTAAGTACCGAGGGGGGTGGAATAGCTCCGACGGAAAACGTTGAAAAAATAGCAAATTGAAGACACCATACAGACTAAAAAAATATAGCCCCAACATCACTGTCAGTACAAGTTGTGCATAACTTTCCATCCAACCCTCGTAATGTTAATTTTGTCGGAGGAATTCTACCCATGAAATAAACAAGTCCAGTGACTTAGACTTTTGCAATGAAAATTAGGGTGCACACTATTTAAGTATAAAAAGAGGCAATTTAAACCTTGAAACAAAAGCAAAATTTCCGTGAATTTTTTAATAACTCTGTAATTGTCAAGAGAAGCTGCCTGCAGCAACTTTGTGGCGATGTTTTTCAGCGCAAAACAAGCAATGTTCACTTTGCAGTGCCGCAACAGAAATATTGAAATTTGCTAAAGATGTTAATGTTTTTGTAACTTCTCCTTTAAAACGCCCAAATGATTTCTATACCATTTCAGAGTCAGCCAAGATATTTTACAGTGAAAAAATTTCAGGAAATCAAGATTCTGTTTTCAGAAAAATATAAGTTAAGTTCAGAAATGGAATAAGCAAGGAACGTCCACTAAAAGCCGAACCTTCACTATATGAGAACAAGATTGTGTGATTAGGGTTACGGTTAGATTCGCACCAGGAAAACAATTGGAAAAATTTAAAAAATAAACTTTATTAGACCACAAAAAAATACAATGTCTCTGATGAAACGAATGACGAACAAATAATAGCTATCGTATATCGAACGTAGATAGAATATAAAATGATGGTAAAAAACGTAGAGGTTAATTATCACAGAGTATGGTATAAAAAGTTAGGGAGCTCAATACTTATAAAAAAGTTTTTTAATACTTGTAAATTTATGAAATGCTATAATATGAATAAACAAAATAAAAAGGTCTAATTTGATTATATCACGAGGTTCAATCTTTAGGGTATGAATGTAGTAATAATGTAAAAAAACGTTGAAAGTTTAATTCGTCATGTTTGACTAACATATTTGTTCACTTAAAGCTATACACTCTAAATAAATGATTGAATGAACACAATTAGACGTCATAAAAACATGATCTGTTTCTTATGTATTCCATACCATGATGTTTCAAAGGACTGTGACTTTTGAAGCACTGCATGTTGCGTAGCACCAGGTGAGACTTTTTTTTAAGTACAGTTAGACAGTTAGTTGGACAGTTTAGACACTTCATACAAGTATGCAGCCATCACTTTGGTCTGGAAAAAAAGGAACACAGAAACGGTTAGATATTGGAGGAGAGGAGTTAAGAAAATTTTTAATTGCGATGACCAACACGAAAAATGGAAGTTGGCAAGCTCATGCTGCCATGCTAAGGAAAAAGCCCTATGAACATTCTTGCGTTGCCAAATTGCCCCTGATACAGCTTTTATTTTTGAGAAAAGTTAGACGTATTTTTCCTTCAAATTTTTGGAAAATTCAGATTAAATTGCAAACAAAATTCTATAAAAAATCGAAAGGAAACAATTCACAAATTGTCCTGAAAATTCGTCTCTCATCCAAGGAAACTTGGTGACACCCTAGGGCTCGTATGGCATTTATCCTTAGCATGGCAGAATGAATAATAGGATTTGAGAAAATTAATGAAAGTTTTTTCTTCAAATTTTCATGGAGAGAACGATATTCATGATAGAAAGTTGGGAACTCACACCAAAAAAAAAAGATGCTGTAGTGACATCCTGTATGTTGCGGTTGTTTAAAAGATGTGCGACAACTCTTGGATGTTGCTATTAACACTCTGGCAGTTAACATAGCATGATAGGATGTAAAAGTAACATCCTAGGATGTTACTTTAACAGCCAGAGTGGTAATGACAACATCAAAGAGTTGTCACACATTTTTTCAACATCCAGGATGTTACTACAGCACCTCTTTTTTTTTGGTGAGCTTCTAACCATGATACAATACATATCAAGGTGTTATATACGAGGTTGGTTTAGACATTTTGCGGATAATTTGCCTAGGGTGAGACTAGAACACTACTGACTCTTTGTAAACAATTATCACTGAAACCTAATAAACAAGCTGCACAAGTGACAACATGCTTCTTGAAGTAGTTGCAATTTGCGGTCAAAATAAGTGTATTCACACATTCCGCCACATTAAAAGACCAATAGATAAGTATCAAAGACCTTGTTAAGTGCAAAGAATAAGCTGAGGAAATTGAAATTCCATTCCTGATTTCCACAGAAAATTTCTTTGATGAAAACCCAGGATTTTTCTTTAGGTTTTTCTCAAAACTTCGAAGAAAAAATCAACTTTTTCATTTCTCCTCCAATCCATAGTTCGATGGTGTAAGTCAGCAACCACATAACTAATTTGCAGTGTCTGAAAATCTCCGCCTCTATGATATTTTTTTAAAGGAGAACAAACTGACATCATTCTTTGAAGTTTTTGCAGAATTTTCTTCGCACAGAGAAGAAAAATCATGGCAATTTTAAAGAATTACCGTTGAGTAGTTCTCCGTTTAAAAAATAAGGTATGACAGGAAGTCTACAACGTTGCAAACCGAGTTGTGTGATTGTCTACTTACACCGCCGAATCACAGAATCAACACGGACCACCAATTTTAAAAAACAAGTAGACCTCAGAGTAGAAAGGACAGAAGTTCCTAGTTTTGAGCACCTATTCCCTGAAAAATCCCTAGATCTTCATGGATATTTTTTATTTCCTAATGAATCCTGGTGTTTTTCGGTTTTTCCAGATCCTGGACGACATTCTTATCCCTGAAAGTATGGGGTTTTGGTGAAGAGGTCTAAAGTTGCAAATTGATTTCAAGCATCCAATGAAAGTACTCACTCCTTCAACATAGTTCCGTATATCGATTTTTTCATTTTGAGAATGAGCTCCATCATCAGACGCTCCCATAGGAAGAAGCAAGACATTCTTCCCAGTGGTTTCCTGCGAGACATATACAAGTACACATTGAACTAAAAGTCGACAACAATTTAATAAAAAAATCAAGATATAAAACGCACCCCAATCAATTCAATTTTACAATTAATGGTGCTACAGCCCCGAGCGGGCTTTGGTGTATACATGAAATGCAATTGTTCACAAAATCGTATATTCTCATAAAAAATAAAAGGAAGTAAATCTACTGAAAACTTCTTCCAAAACCTTTCCCTAAATTAATAGCCATCAAATGCCAATTTTCATATTCTTAAAGCTTGGGCTCTAGGGATTTGTACAAAAAATATTCCTGGGTTAATACTTTAAACCTTCATTCCTTCGTTGTATGGCTTCTAACTTGCAATTTTACATTCAGGTCACGCCAAATAAGTTAAGGCACTTTAAGGCTACGACAGCCTTAAACAAAGCCACTTTGGCATTGAGAGTAAAGCCAAGCATCAAGATGTCGGATCTTTTGTGCCAGTCTGAATGTGCATAAATACATTTGGCGTCGGTTATGGTCATTCTCAGTTCAAGGTTAAATTGAGGGTGATCTTAGATTTAGAAATATCAGGAAGGCATACAGAGAGCTGCTAAGACTGTGCTCATCTCAAACCCATCAACGCCACAATATTGTACACTTGCATATTCGAAAGACACACATTAGAAAAACAGAGCTTCTTTCTTTATTTTATACTTTTTTTAAGAAAATCATCTCACTTTTTGAGCAAAATTTTCAGTGAATGTGCTGCACAAAACAAAGCCTGAAGTGAAGTCAAAACTACAAACCTGAAGAGTGAGCGTTACAGGAATGGATCCACCCTCCCGCGTGAAATCAGGATCCACATTGTAAACATGCTTGGTTGCTTTCCTAGCAGCTTCGTAATGTTCATGACTGGAGTCAGCAACCCAACTGCGCCCGCTATCGATCATGTATGCCTGAATAGAACAAGTACAGATAGTTTTAACTAGGCATTAAAGTGCATCTCTCACAGATCAGACATTGAGACATATGGACATAAACAACACATGCTTCTTGAGATTTTCATCTCATTTTTGTCTCCACTGCCGTGTTTGTTGACTGATAAATTTTTAGTTGCAAAAGAAATGCATGATAAAACAACAATTTGGTGGATAAGTCGGTATGTAAGATTAGTTACAAAGAAATTAACGTATTTTTTATTTATTAACGTAACACACTTTTCAACGCATGGTTTTCGAGATTGTGATCTCATTTTTATCTCCACTGCCATGTTTGTTGATAAAACTGATGAATTTTTAGTTGCAAAAGCAATGCATGATAAAACAACAATTTGGTGAATAAGTCGGTACATAAGAATAGTTGCAAAGAAATTAGCACACCTTGAATTCATTGGGACTCTTCCTTTCACTCCATTTTTTTTCCAGATAACTGACAACGCATTTTTCAACGTTCTCTGGAGTCATATTGGGAACAATACGAATAGAGAACTTGCCGATAACTTGCATGGGTATGACAGTTTTGCAACCAGTGCCGCTGAAAGCTCCTTCAATGCCGTGAATCGAGAGGCTTGGGTATCGCCACCGGCTCATTAAAGTTTTGACCTGAAGGAAAAGAGCAAATTTGAAAATTAAGCTTAAAGATTTTAGAACTATTGCATTATAATTTGAGAAGCCCTTAATAAGTCATTAAAGCTATGTTCTCCCTTTTCTAGGGAACATCTTGACTTGATTATCTGAACAAATTTAATCTTTACTCCTGATAAACTACAAATTCAAGACAAAAATTACACTTGTAAATTTAATTTTTTGCAGGATTTCAGTAATTTTGTTTCAAAGAATGCAAGTTGCACAATGCTAGCAACACTGAAATGCTCTTGGTTTCTTTTTGCAAAATGCAATCCACCTGTGAACGGCCCTAAAGGCCAGGGGGAGAGAAACAAAATAATTAAACTAACCTTATCTCCTTCGTGGATGATTTTTGAACAGCCAATGTCACTCTTGAAGTGAGATAAATTGAATTCAATTGGATCATAAACATCCTTCTCATTCGCAGTTTCAGGGGCGACTTCATCATAAATTCCTGTTACCAGTATTTTTCCGTTTATATCAACGAGAGTGTTCAGCAAGTAGATCAGATCTGCCATTGCCTCGTGCCTGCAGAATAGATTTATAAATATGTTCAAAACCTCTCAAATGCAACTTAAAAAACTGTAAAATTACTTTGTAAAATCAACAGGAGATCTCTGTATGAAAAATTTTAATATTTCTGATGCTGTTGAATCCATGCCGGTCTCAATAAACTCGGAATAAGAGAAAATATATTCTGAAAAACAGCCAAGTGCATACTTAAAAGCTTTCAGTTTTTCACAACTGTTGTATTAAAGTTGACTTCATTTCTTTGTTTTATCAATTTTGCCGGGGGAAATCAGGTTATTTCTCAAAGATTCAATTGAATTTCATCTCTATCATAATTTGATTATCTGATAAATTACTCTTTTCCTCTCAAGATTCAAGACAATCTTTTCAATAAGAATAAAAAGATAATTCTTCGCTCAGTTCTTTGGCCATAGAAAGTTCAAGAAAACGTCCATCAATTTGTTTGATGATTTTTCTGCTTTGCTTTAAATAAATTAAATAAAAACACTTACACAGCACCTCCATACGCTCCACTATGAAGATCCTTTGCAGCACACTTAATTTTGATTCCAAAATAACAGATACCCCTTAGACCATAGGTGAGGCAAGGTTTATCTTTTCCCAGCCAATAGTTATCTGATATACAGACATAGTCCACATCTTTCAGGAAAGAGTCCTTGCGCTGGATTAAAAGCTCATCCAAACCATGGCTACCACTTTCCTCCATACCTTCGAAGACAAACTGAAAGAAAGGGAGACTTGATTAAATATGTCATCATAGGAGATAGAGCATACTATAAAAATCAAAATGATTGTGAGAGTCCAGATATTTTCAAATACTTGCTCACTATGGTTTTAAAGTAAACTGGTCACTTCACAGCCATTATTTCTCTTACAAACGTCTCACTTTGACTTTAGGATCGATCATGAAAACTTGCAAAAATCAAAAGAAAGAAAATGTTTTTGATAAGCTATTAGAGGAAAGTGTCAACTATGACTACTGAAACTCTGACTTAGAAGTTTGTTTAATTTAGGAGTTACTGGAGAAAAAGTGGTATTGTGGATATCACCTTGACAAAAAAATTTTCTACAGACCAAATTTTGTTGGCACGTTTGTGTCCGCCATTTTTAGGTCCCTCATTTTCTCAAATGATCCTTCATCTTCCCTGAAACTTTGGTGCGATTCTACGGCGGGAAACCAAAAATGCCAAGTTTTACTTCTGCCAGTTTTTGTTTATTGAGATGGGGATAGTTCTATAAAAATGAATCGGCAATGATTCTGTGACAGAGCAAATAACAGCTTAGTGACTCGATATAACTCAAATTTTGATTCATTTTTCTCCTCGGTGAATGTGAAGCCTCTCCCTGTTCTATTTACAATTTTACAATTAATATATTACATTTTCACCGATTGAAAATTTCTTTCTCTTGATAGTATTTTCCTTTTTTTCAGAGAATCATTATGTACTTTTACCATAATTACAGGAATTCCCATAATTTTTGCGGAGGGAATAAAATCTGTTGTACCTTTAAGTTTATGGGAATGGGTATTTTCAAGGCTTGATAAGCTTGAATGGCATTTATCCATCCCAACACTGGTCCTTTGTCATCAGTTGATCCACGTCCATACAGCTTTCCATCTTTCTCTGTGAGTACGAACGGTTCCGTATCCCAACCATCTTCTTTGGCTGCTGGCTGTACATCCAAATGACCATAGATAACAACGGTTTTTTTTGTTGGATCGTTTCCCAATTTACCAAGGAGGATAGGTGGAAGTTTAAGACTGGTGCCATTCGGTAAAGTCTGAAAGAAAATCAGAAATTTTTGATTGACAAAAGAGGAAAAGAGAAAACCATGGAGTTGTTTGAATGAATAATCAGTTAGTGAACTGCTTTGATCATCAAATAAAGTCTGATGAAAATCAGAAATTTCTAAGGAGTGATCAAACAAAACCTTGCAAACAGTCTGAATAAATTAATGGCTGGCAAACTGCAAATATAGGGATCCCTTCTTACGAACGAATTTCCTGATCGCAAGTTTCATATATTCACAAGTAGGTAGACATTTGCTGTATAGTTTGTCATTTACGGGCACAGCTTTAGTTGATCATAAATTTTTTCCATGTCAGTTCGGAAACCGTTTGTCATGATGTATTCAGAATAAGGGAGTTACGTGTGTCTATCGTTGGCTGCCACCTTTTTCGTTTGGACGCCTTCCACTATTGTCGAGTTTAAACTTTGTCCAGAGGTGGCTACCGGCACCCATGATAAGGTTTTTGCGGACCAGAACCGTCGAGTTAGGTTCGTGCAACTCAAGTGAGAGATGGCAGTGCAAAGGATTTGCTTGAAATTTTCTTGGTAAATTAAAAAGTTCAGCTCTTGTTTCAACGTCTGGCTAATCCTGTTTCAACGTCTGGCTAATCCAGTTTCAACTTTTGACAGTTTCTCTCTGACGTTTGCAGCCCTCACTTTGGGAACTGTTGATCAAAAGCATTATGACCTTAAAAATTACTAACACGCTCTGAGAAAATAGATCTACCTGATGGCCTGGATCACACAGTTCAACTTCGGCACCACAATTCTTCAACAGCGTTTCCACATACTTCACCATGGTAGTGATATCATCTCGGTGTTCGGGCTCAGCTGACACTGATGGAATTGCCACAGCTTCACTCAGACGTTTGATGTAAGCTGCTTTGTTATCATCTATGTACCTGAAAAATTTACATGGAGGTACAATGTAAATAATTGTGTTAAAGTCAAGGTTTACTGTGTTTGAAGGCACGTACCTGTTCAGGCTACTAAGAATTCTTGGCACTAATTTTTTTGAGGGCAGGAGCATAATTGGATGATCCATATTAATATAGTTTTCTTTCACATTGACTTTTCTTCATGAGCACACTAGAGTACCTGTATAGGGAGAGTAGCGACAGATCTGAAACTCCGAAAGTCCATCAGGCCTTCACCGATGCCTCCGCAAATAAAGTTAGGGCCCAAAAGGGCAGCCAACCTATGAATTTCGAATGTCCAGAGCAATTTACAAATACAATTGTTACGAACCGTCGTTTAGAAAGCATGTATTTGGTTTACTTTTTGCATAAATTTACTTATTTTTGCGAAAGAACGCTCATTTATATACATTCTTAGCCATCTTGGTTAGAATTGAAATCTGTAGGCTGGCAGTGAAATTTTGTGTGTTAGAAGTTGCTCAGAAGGGTGGCTGCACTTTTGGGCCCTAAGCCCTCCATGAACCGATCTGTCGCTACTCTCCCTATACAGGTACTCTAGAGCACACTAGTGTATAAAGTTTTAGCCCAATGTGCCAATGAATGCTGAAAAGCTTAGAGCTGCCTCTATCTGGTGGGTAAACAAAGGGGAGATACAACCGACAAACATTGGCTCGGCAAAACATAATTTTTTTTCTCGCAAAGCTACTGTTTCATGACTTCAATCATAAGATGGCTTTCAAATCATCAGTTTTTTAATTTACAGAGCGTTCTTTGCGATGATAATTACATTGCATGAATAGTTTACTCATGCTTTTCATGACTAAGCATGCTGTGCCATCATTTCATAGCACCTAAATAAAAAGGTACACTAAAAGTAAAACATCAAATTGCATTGAGAATTGCTAAGTTTGGCTAATGATAACAGATTATACTTCATTAAGAGTACAATTTCTTTAACGACATAAGTTCAAATAGTTTGTAAAATTAACTTTTTGGTATCACCCTACTCACTTGAATAGCGTTGATAAGGTATCCGGCAAAGAAGACATTGTTTCTTGGGTTTGGTAGCTACCGGGGACAGAGACTGCCAGTGGAAAATTATTCAAATTAACAGCTATGAAAGGAAGAGGTAATTAGGAGAAATAATTGGACATTTATCAGTAATTACAGATGAAACTGATAAGATAGGTGACAGTTGACACAGAAATGACAAAACTGGTCGGTGGTTTTCGGGGAGTGCTTCCTTTCTGATGAGAGAATAGCAAAGCCCCTAAGTTAATGGAGATAAGAGAGAGGCAGGAAAAGAATCGATAAATACAATATTAAAATTATAAGAAAGAACAAGTATCACGTGTATCACGCATTACGCCAGAGCACAGCCTAAGTACAATGCCAACAATCATCACCGCTATCACCGAAATTTTTTGTTTACGTTTTCGCCGCAGATTCCGCAGATTAGGCAAATTGGTTCAAATTGCTTCATTTTCCCAATTATTCCTTTTTTCGAACAGAAGGAATCTTAACCGCAAATTCTGAACCAGACGCTTTGATTGGTCCAGAGCGGTTCATTCCAATTATTCCGAGTTGAACCAAAACAAGCGGGAATTTCAAATAATTCCGGATATCCTGTCTACCAAATCGTTTCCGCTTCCGGTAAACAGTGTTGTCAGTTTTATTTATCAAATGCTCGTAAAACTGACAACACTGTTTACCGGAAGCGGAAACGATTAGGTAGACAGGATATCCGGAATTATTTGAAATTCCCGCTTGTTTGGGTTCAACTCGGAATAATTGGAATGAACCGCTCTAGACCAATCAAAGCGTCTGGTTCAGAATTTGCGGTTAAGATTCCTTTTGTTCGAATAGAGGAATAATTGGAAACATAGCACAGATTAGTCCAATTTTAAAAAATCGGCGGGAAATTTATTCTTCGCTCAAAACTGTGATTGATTTAAATGTTTTCCTAATTAATTAGGTAACGCTTCAAATTTTTACACTTGCCGAGTCCAAATTGTCTCTAATTTTTGAACGAAAGTACTAGTTGCATTAAAACTTTCTTTGAAAAGGTTTTTTAAAGTATAAAATTGAACGTATTAACATTAATAAAAAACCAAGTATAAATGAATAAAATCTACAGAAATTATTGGACATGTAAACCCTATGTGCTCCTTTTGATTTATTTCATTTCCAAGTAGTTTCCTGTAGCATAAAAGCACTCAACTGATTTTTTTATCATCGAATCCGCTTGAGACAGCGAAAAGCTTACAATTCTGTGACAGAAAAAAGGTTGGAAATCGCATTTTGGTAACCATATGTAAAAATACTTATTACTTATGAATAATTCGATGGGCAAAATGCAAAACCTCGTATTTCCGTTTGTGACGTTGCAGACTTCCTGTCATATGTACTTCATGATTTTCTCGAAAAACTATTCAACGTAGTTCATCTAAAACTTCCTTGATTTTTCTTCTCAAGAGCCAGAATATTCTGTAAAAAAAAGAAGCGATAGAACTTCTACCCAGGTGCTATAGGTGGAAGGAGTTTGTCCTGTAGATCGTAGAAAATTAGGGACGTTTTTTTTTTTTTTTTTCCTCTCAGTAAGAAAACTAGAAGGCAATTAGGTTAAAAGGTTAAAGAATGGCTCGCATTGATGCTAACAGATGGGATTAGCTCCATTAAAATGGAAGCGGACATTTTGAAACACCGCAATGGAGATACGTGGTTTTGCACTTTTAGCCATCGAATCATCAATCAATATTTTTCTTTAGATTTTGTCCTATCTAAAAAAAATTTATCAAAAATAACTTACAATTACCTAGATTGCATTTTGCAAAAAGGAACCAAGAGCATTGCAATGTTGCAAAGATTGTGCAACTTCATCCTTTGCAATAAAAGCACTGAAATCATGCAAAAATATGAAACTAACATGGTAACTGTTGACTTAAATTTCCAGTTTTTGGGGTGCAAAATAGAAACTGTTTACAGCTGATCAGGTTTTTCTTCCAAGACAAAGAAGTCGCACAATCTTAGCGACATTGCAATGCTCTTGGTTCCTTTTTGCAAAATGCAATCCACTTGTTTATTTATATTAAAAATTAGTGTCCTTAAAAATCGATCTTTTCATTACTTATGACTGAAGTAATTTTCAAATTTAAAATATTGTCAATTGCATTGGAATCCGGACCACCCATCTACTATTTTTATCATGAAAATGGCTGAGAATAGTCTTTGACGCCGAAACTTTTATTGACTAATTTGACTTCGAGTCATTCAAAGAAAACATTTTCAATTTCCCAAAGGTATACTTCAAGAGATATTTTAGGAAAGGACTTCCTGGTTCTCCACTTTTTTAATTAAAAAGCATAAACTAAGAGCACATTCAGTTTCAGATTCGAATGCTGCAAGAATGAAGAGCTCTCTGCACTGAGGAATTTGGAATGACAGAGATCCTTCTTTAAAAATTTGCCGTATGCAAATTCATTGTTGATTTGAAAAAAGATGCCATTGACCCCAAAAACACTCGGAATAAATTAATGAAAAGTGAATGAAGAATAATATTGAGTGACTACCACAGACATATATAGATAAAGAGAGTGTATTCAATAGAAATATGTAAAATACAAGAAAAATAGATAATAATTTGGAAACCGAGAGAGGCGAGCAAAATTAATGATCAACCTTACAACAAAATAACAAACCAACTATTCTGAGCAATTGTTTAACATTCATACTTCTGAAGAGAAGGTACACAATACAGACAATAACTATAGCATAACAAAAGGTCATCAAATGATTCTGTCTTGGCAGAGGACTCCTTTTGTTCACTTTGCATGGAAAATCAACAGTGAGACCAAATAAACAATAAACACAAGTTTCAATTCCTGTGCTTTTCAAAATTGCCTTTCATGTTTCATGAGAAATAAGTCGATTTTTTGTTGAGATGGAGCAGAATACAAAATTAAATCGAACGCATTTTTTCCCAGAATTTTTTCACCAAAATTTAACGCAAAATAGGATGCAATTAAGGTGATTCTAAGTGACCTAGGGATAAGATCCGCCACTATGTTGCATTGCTACCTAGTCTGTGTTTTTTACAAAATTATCGTATTTTACAAATTAACGCAAGGATCTGATCCATTGCCCATGGTAGCACAACATAATGAGGATCTTGTCCCTCGATTACTTGGAATTTACTTTAAAATTTAAAATTTTGAAACAGCAGCAATAATTGCTGAAAAGAAACAGCAACAGTTCGTTTGAAATTGAACTGATGATACTTCATTGTAATTCCACCATAAGCTAGCAGAGGAGCTTATTTTTCAAATTTTACATCACTTTCTGTCTCCTTTTAATTTATTGGTTCACTCCAAGCATTATTTTTAGCAAAGAAAATTCATGAGCGATGCTGAAAACAAGATCCTCAATTTAAGCCTAATTTAAGAATATTACTGAAAGAACATTGTCAAAAATCAGAATAGAAACCTTACAGTCCTTAAAAATGATGTCAAAAGTATTTCCTTTCTTAAAAAAAGGACGGTACAATAGATAGGTACCATAAAAAATCAAGATTGAAATACATGATTTTCTGGTTTCACCAACAAGAATTATTTACTACCTAGCAGAGAGGTGAACATTAACTGGTAATGGTAGGGTTTAATGCACCTTACAAAAGGTTTTTTTTTTATTTTTTTGTTTTTATACATGAGATAGTACAAGACAAGCTGAAATGGAAGTACAAGATTGATCCATTGTAACACTAGATTTCTCTACCATGCTTTTATCCGGTAGAATAATAATCGTGCCATCTTTCCTAATTGTAAATTGACTCAAATTGGATGGCAAGTTTTGATGAAGAAATCATGAAGCACAACTAACTGATAGCTGACCTTTATTTCAGCTCATTCTTATCAGGTCCCATCACCGAGGACAAAATTTTAATTACTACAATTGCCGAAAATGAATAATCAAACTTCCGGCTAAATATTTCTTAGTTTACTTCAGTCTGAAAGGTGTGAAAAAGCTTCATTTGAAACACTGAACTGCAAGAGGCAGCAATGAATCGAAAAAGAAGAAGCTCATGACAAAATTTATAAGATAAAAATAATCATCAAAAAAAATACTACAAAAGAGGGATTTTGACAAAGGCTGTTTTTGGGCACTTACTGGCTGAATTTCCTAGACTCTTCAACTTTTTGCTCATGGAAGGTCAATAATTTACAAGATGCAGATTTTTTGGCATTCGACCAAAATTCTGCCAAACTCGCATTTTTCGCCAAAATCTACTGACCCATTTTTAGGCCAATGTTAGACCTCAAAAGAGACCGAAAATGACCAAATCACGATGCATTTTGTAGAAAATAGACCTTCGATAAGCAACAAGTTGTAGATTGGAGGATATTCAGCTTAGGTTGGCCCTAAAAAAGCCTTCATCGATACCCCTTCTTTCACGGTTTAGGGGTGTTGAAAGTCAAAAGTCGCTTTTAACACCAGTGAGAATGAAACTGAAAACTAGATTACACTTTTTCCTATAGAAACAGACAGTAGGTAAGCATTTTCATTGGTTGAGAGTTTGGCTTGACTTTTAGATCAATGACTATGCCACTCATTCAGTCTTGAGATAATAATTAAGGTGGCTATCATAAAATGCAAGGATCTCTGTGCAGTGGCTCCAGAGGCTTGAAATTCTGACTAGATAGTGGATATATACAATCGTCTTTTAAATACAATAATACACAAATCTTCAAATAGTTTCAGAGACTGGTGATGAGATTGTGAAACTTACGACATAAAATTTGAAATGACATTAGCAAAATATGGTTAGACCGAAGCTACAGTTGTCCAGATATGGAGGAAACTGATTCAATTTTCTTGAGGGTGATTCTGAGTGATCTAATGGCGAGATCTGCCACCAAGTTGCGTTGCCTCACGGTGTCTTTAAGAAGCGATAACTATCCTAATGTACAAGTTAATACAAGAAACTGACCCATAACGTGTAGCAGCATTAATATTAAGTAGAGTGACATCAAATTTGTGAAGATTCATTAAAAATTTATATCCGCAACTGCCATAACAGACGTCGTCCATGGACTCAGTATGTAAAAGAGAGATAGCTTTATAGTAACTCTCTCTTATACATTGAGTCCATGGACGACGTCTGTTATGATAAAGTCCGATATCAACTTTTGATGAATCCTCACCAATTTGATGTCACTCTACTTAATATTGATGCTGCTACACATTATTGATTCTTGCATTAACTTATATATGTAATGATAATTATTGCTTCTCAAAGGCACAAACCACATAACCGCACAATGTGGTGGTAAATCTCGTCCCTATTTCACTTAAAATTACCTTAAAGTGATGGATGGATAGTTAGCAGATTTTATATACCTATGATGAATATCCTTAGGTGTAGCTTGACCTAGTATTCATTGAAGCAAGACTTTTGCTTTTAGAAGAGAAAAACGTATTCTCGCAAAAATTACGGATGGGAAACTTAATTTTTCAATCTGCTTGATTGTTTTTAAACCCCTAATTTAACTAAACTAATTCGAGTAACCTTCATTTGCTACATAAATTGTAATTCATCCGCATAAAGGCAAACTTAACTTAGGCAAAACTAATTTGACAAATCCAGTGCAGTCAAGGATATCCTAAATTTATGGTTTTACTGAACTGTTTTCAATTCAGTAAAAACTTGCCCCTTTAACTGATTGCACCGAGCCTATTGTAGAGGTTCACCAAAAATTCATGGGGAGTTGACCAACATGGACAAGGCCTACAACATCACTGAGAAAACGAAAATCAAACCAAATTATACAATATTTATCCAAGATTTCACAGTCATAAGAATGAAACTCAGATTGCTATATTAAGTCCCTGGACATAAACAATAAGTTCGCAACGATAAGCATTCATTCAGAATAAATTACACTAAGGAAAAATAAATAAATAAATAGATAAATATTTGATTACTATAAAAATAATAACACTTTTTGTGAAGAAACAACTCAGAAGCGGTAAGAATGAAAAAGATTCAAATAAATTCAAAAACAAAAAAGAAAAGAAAAGCATGGCAAAGGCCTATTTGGTGATCCTTAAATAATACAATTTGCAGTCAAGACGAATTTAAACGTTCAATTTTTTCCCACTTTGTGAGAAAACTGTGATACATGATAAAGCTCATCTTGGTTATTCTCTTTTCAGTACCACTCTTTGCTCTTCATCTGAGATTTACAGTTACACAGCATAGTCTTCCCTTAGTTCATCTAAGTCACAAAAAACCTGATTGGCTACATAACACTATGCATTTAGCTTTCCTTTTTTCTTAAAAAAATTGATAGTGAAGCAAAAGCGTGACTAATATCAAAGAAACTCATACCTGATAATGGGACGTTAATATTTCAAAACGATTTGTGACGAAAAATAAAATAAAAATAGATGCTTTTCAAACTTAAACACTGACCAATACAGGGGTAGGTCACAAAACTGAGGCTTTAGGTTCATTAATTAAAATAAACTTTTAAATAAGATTCATAATGAGCTCAGCTCATTATATTGTTACAGATTTTTCCCAACAAAATGACTCAGTTGAACTAACAATAGATTCCAGCAATGATGAAGGGAAAAATCTGCGCTATTGAACCAGGTTGAACCTGGAGAAATCCATAATTTTGTACGTCAATAAACCCTACTGTTTAAAACATCATGCAACAGTCTCACTTTTTACTTAGTCTCTACCCCCAAACCCCAAATTTCAATTTTCATCTAGCACTAATTAGCACCAGGAAAGTTTTCAATTCAAGCGGCTTGATCGCCTCACATAACTGACTATAATTTCAGGAGATAAATCGCACAGCTAAAATAAAATTCTTAGTGGCTCATGTAAACTTAAGCTTTTGATTTTAACAGAAGAAACTGAACAACTCATTTCTAAAACACATAATCTGAAAACTATTATCTGATGAGAGGAGTGTGCTCATCCTCGCACTGTGATTGTTAAGCAATATCTTTCCAAATAAAGACTGGTGCTTCTTAAACTCAAGACTTAGAGACTAGTACAGTTTATAGGATCACCAATTTTGAGTAGAATGGCGATTTTGAGGCCACTAAAACATTTCCTTCAGAGTTGCTACAAAATTAGGATGCCGGATTGTGGCACGATGCATTCTACTTTTGTCTGAAATTCCGACGGACTAGTGCATTACTTAAGATTGAGCGGATTTCTACCTGAGCTGCCTGAAATTCAGAGGAACAAAGAAAAATAATAAGTTTTCGGTGACTAATGAGAAGCACTTTCTCTCTTTTTGCCTGCAGAAAAAAATCAGGGAGAAATTTTTGGCTCTTCGATATCAAACTTTTTGAGCTCCATTTTGTAAGTCAAAAAGATGGATTAATTTGAACAAGCATGCTGTTCCTGAATTTTCGGTCAATAGACCAAAGTTTAGAAAGTGGGGATCATGCACAATCTTAATTTTTATGGATAAAGATGTGCCTAAACTTTCAAAATTTAATTTTCTTTTTAATTTAAATTAATTATCCCCATTGCGATGTTTCAAAATTTCTGATCCCACTTGATTTTTTCAAAGAAAAATAAGTCCATTAATAGTTTGAAATTAATAAAGAATAATCTGCTAACATAGAGGAAAAAATCAAGGCCGTTTTCAAGAAATTTAGTTGACTAGTTTTCCAAGGAAAAAATGAAGTATGACAGAAAGTCTGGAATGTTGCAAACAGAGATAAGTGGTTATGCACTTTGGCCATCGATATATTTCCCATCAATGGAAACATAAAAATCCTCGAGAGTCAATTTGTGAATAATTGTGTAAATTAATTAGCTAGATTTTAGAAACTATAAATGGTTCCTGAGAAATGTCGATTCTCATATTATTTCTTGTAAGAATGAAAAACTTGGCTATTGAATCTCTGATTGGCTGATCAAAGCAGTGCAGGAAACTCTGAACGTCGTGGATCTTCCTGATTCAATGTGAGCTCTTATATTCTTTTCACATATCTGTTAGATCTTTGACTCGAGACATTTTTTAGAGCAATCAACTTTTGAAAAGTTAAATCGCTTGATACTTACTACAGTGGAAAAATAGGAGCCGATAATGTGGATGGGCGTTTCTTCACTACTGTTGGTTTCGCTTTGTTTTGGAATTTTGATGACGACTCCTGTTTGGAGTTGAAGCTCTCTGACTACTTGTCCTTGACGGCCGATAATGCTCCCTACCAGGTCACTAGGCACAGACAATTCTATCTCTAGAGGTGCATCTAACCCTGTCAGAAAACCATCACTCACCATTTTGTTGAAAATAAAAAACTGAGCCTGAAAGCCAAGATTTACGATACCAGATTAGAAATTTGAGACACATATATACAATTATAAACAATGAGCACGTAATAGCGTATTATTATAGACAAAAAACACTAAAAGAAAATGTGTCCCGAATATTGTAAATGAAACGATGGTAGAATAGAGGTACTTCCATACCGTTCTGGAGAGAAATAAAAGTCAGAAAACCTTAGAATTAGAATTATAAAATAAACTCCAATGAGTTTCAGTCAAGGAGTAATGAGGTCAAAAATGACCCAATCAGCACTGATCTCTCACATTCTCCCTCTTTCGATAGATTTTATACTCGGCAATGTATATATGAGTGGTGTGAACAACCTAAAACTTATTTTTTGCAGTAATTTATTACTTTGCTACAATATTTTCTTTCCATCCGGCACCATTTTCTTAGAAAATAAACTTGCCCCAGAAATGCTTGTTTTTTGTTGGGAGATTCCAATTTTCTTGATGAAAAGTTGCGACATTTTCCCGGCACCCGGCACTAAAGACTACAATAAAAACTAAAAATCGAATTACCTTATGTAAAATGACAAGACCTAAAAAGTCATTATCCAAAAAAGACCAATTTGCACCACTCCCTGTCTCCCAGGTAGATCTCCAAACTTTACTTTTTAACGACTCACACTTGAGTTCCTCTTCTCCCACCACATCAAACCCCCAGGAGGTCTAAAAATTATGGGTTCAGTTTTCAATAAAAATCGTCCAAAGTTACATACTTCAGGTCAGAGTTGGGCACAAATAATTCAGCAATTACCGAAATTGGTGCGGCAACTCTTGCTAGACCCTCGGTCCTCAGAATTCTCTACCTGATAAGCTAGATTAACAGTCAAATTATTCGTCCGATTGATGATTGATCGGACCTTACTGATTAACCAAATAATTTCCAAATGCTTTTTACCCAACTCTGCTTCAAGTCTTGAGGCAAGAATTCCAACATTTCACTATCAAGTCGAGTCTTGTTTACTTTTTTGGTTTTCGATATGAAGATTTTTTTTTTTTACCTACTAAAACCCAAAAATTTCAGTTTTTTATTTGAACCAAAACCAGCGTTTTAAAATAGTCGGTTCATTCTGCATCCACAGAGTGGTGGTCATGAGTTCTGGGGAGACGGTTTGTTAGTAATGAAGAATTGAGGTCGCTGCTGCAGACAGCACCAACTAGATCTTGGTTTTCTTTCACCACTTGCCTCAAGCATCCGCATCTGCAAGGCCTCTGTCTACTTGAAAACAAGTGGAAGAGATAAGTGAGGCCCTCTGCAGCACGGACTGAGATTACATGAACTTTTGCTTTTTTCATGTGCACAGTCAACCTCCATTCTTCAAAACTCCAGAGCTGTTTGTTTCCCCAGAACCCACCACTACTTATGGAATGAGACAATCACCTTGAAAAACCAGTTTCGGCTCAGATGAAAAATTAATATCTATAAATGTACATTGTTCAAAAAAAGTTCTTTGTTTAAAAAACTGAAAAAATGCATTAAACACAGCTTAATAAGTAAAATTTGTGATTTCCTTACTAAGAATCTGAAAAGGGACAAGTTTAGACAATTTTTAAATGAGACAATTTCAAAATCGTCCTTCGTACTGGAGATAAATGCTTTAAAGTTTAATGCTCTGCTGATCTAAAGTTAGGGAATCTAATGATCTTTAAAGGGCTATGAGACCGGGATTAACAGGTGATGAAGTTTTCTAAATATTGATACGAAAGTTGAAAAATGTGTAGCTCTACGGTAACATTTAAAACTCTCCGATTATGTTGTAATTTCTTAAAAGAAAATAAATCGTGATACCTCCTAAAAGCTTTTATGATTAGTTTCGAATGAATGAAAAAAAATCACATCTTTTTTTTTAAAAAAAACTCACAAATTTCCTTTTTTTAAAAAAAAAACACATGTTTTTTTTTAAAAAAAACGTTCGTCAGTTTCCATGTAAAAAAAAAAGCTGAATAGAAATTTACATAATTTAAAAGCGTAGTTTTTTGCACAAGTCATGAATTTGAGTTTTTCCTGGGAAAAAGGAGACGTATTTGCAAAAGAGATTACCCTATAGTGACAGTGCGGTGGTCCAACAATGGTGACTTTCCTTTTGCTCGTTGATGCAGCAACTTTTTTTTCCACAGGCGGGATAATAATTCTAGTGCCGCTCATTTTCATCATGTGCTTAATCTGAGAACCCCTCGTTCCAATGATTGCACTGACACCGCTGTTAGGAATATAGATGTATGATGTCTCCTGAAACCCAGAAAATGGAGTCATAAACTCAGATATAAACCTTTGATACCTGATTGTGAGTAGCATCGTTGGGCTGGACTCCTCAGCACCGGACCATTAACTCTATTATCAATTTTTGATAATCTCCAACTTTACATTTCAACGGCGGCGTTGCCAATTGAGAACTGACAGTTCGCCGCAGCAAAGGACAAGGACTTAGCTGGATTCCCTTTCCGCCCGCAGTGTTCCTGACAACGGGGGGAGTCGACTGTGTCCAAGTAGTGTTTAGGGGATGACTCACGAACGGCACGAAATTATGGCTCTCCTTAGGTCATGATGTATGTCTTTGACGGCACTTGATCCCGTGTTCGCTGCAGTGTGCGTTTGTGAATTCCGGCACCCCAACCAGGCTGGCAACATGGCGCCTTGCCTTATCATATAAATTATAGTTCTTGTTCCTTTATTCGTAATAATTGTGCCATTTCATCAGTGATGCATTCTCATCTCATTTTTCCAAATTCAAACCTTCGGGTTTTCTGTGTCACTTTAAAAATCAACGCGTAATACTGGAGTGTAACTTATAACTGAGAGTTTTTCCCTCTCATTTATTTTTAAAAATCAAAACAGCCCACCTCTTATCGTGTGACATACCGCTGCACGGCAGGTGCTCACTCTATCTTACAGTATTCTACCATTGGGTGGGATACGCGTGGAATAATATCTTTCGTCCGGTATTATTCTGCGATCTTGGGGAGCTCGGCCGGCACCCATCTGCTCGGGGGCACTCCTGTTAGCGACCCCAGTGGGGATGACAATTTTCTAGCATTAAGCTACAGTTACTGCTACAGGGTGCTCTAATGGGTAGGTGGGGGTCTGCCGTTCTCTCCTGTCCTTTCCCTTTGGTAGAGGTTTATATATAACATTATACTATTCAAATATTACTCTCCATATCTATCTTATATTTTTGTCCAGATTTAAGTATCTGGATAATTGTTCTTGAGCTAGCTCTCTTAATTTTTAAAATTACGTAAAGTTTTTCATCAGTTTTCATGCTCTCTTCATCTCATTCCATTTCATTAGTTAGTTAGCTCTAGAATATATATTATCTTATTATACTGTAAAAGTGCTAAACATGTTATCATGGATGTGCTAATAAATAATCAAAAAAAAAAAAAAAAAAAAAAAGAGTAGCATCGTTCAAAATAAAAGCTTTATAAAAAGAAAGTATCAATTAAATTGCTCCCTGTTTGCACACAAATTTCACCAACAAATCCTTTTTGAAAAAAACTTGTGGAAAAAACTAGTAAAATAGACCAAAAAGGGAATTATTCAATTGCAATATTGCAGTTTATAACGATACAATCTTACTACCCTCGAAAAGTGCAATACCTGAAAGTTACCCAAAACAAACTTGTCAAAAAAAAACCTCATGAAAAATCAGTAGATTGGACCAAAAAGGAAACATTATTTAGCATTATATACAAGAAAAATATTTTCCACAGGTTTTTCTTTGTATAACTTCCGAATTTGCAAAAATAACCCAAATTACAATTTTTTAATGGGTGATGTAAGTTGTGGACCTAGATTTTTTGACGCGTAATGACCCACCCATGACTTCCTCCAACAACACAGTATAGGTTTTGTAAATCACTTAATGAAAATTACCATCTTGTATCTCGCTTGCACTCTTGTAATTTCCTTCTAGAATATTGAGAAAAGAGGAAAAGAAAGTGAGTACTCACGATTTGATCACTCGATGGATAAGCCATCTTTGACAGATTTTTATTGAAACTGGATGATGTCCTATACCAAACGTCTGGATCTTGAATGTAAAAATTATTAGAACGATCATACATCATACCAGGACCCATTTGAGATCTTGGACCTCTGTGATAGTTTTTGTGTGATGCCATTGATTTTAGCTCAGCAAAATTTTTGGTTGCTGCAAAACAAAACAAAAATTCTGAATTCTCTTGCTTGAATCATAATTTAAAAATTTCACTAATAAGTACTATGAGATGGTAAGAATCCTTGTCAAATAAGTTTACGCATTTTTAGAAAGTTACAGAGAATCTGCCATCTTGATTCTTGCACTTACTTTTGAAACTCAACAGAGCAGAGGACAGATGATCTTTTGTCACACTCTGAAAGTGCATTAACTTATTCGGCATGGACTCTAAAGAAGAAAGAGAAAAATAAGGTTTTCATACCCGACCAACTATTCTTTGCAAGGAGTGTCATTCAAAGCGCTGCAGTGTTTCAGATCCATCCTGATTGGCGATCTTAGATTGATAATATTTTTGTTTAAAAGGATCCAATTCATACTGTGACACGGCCATGTCACAACAGAAAATTTGTTCATTGCACTCTACTTGTAATTATAACCAGAGAAAATGCTTTGATCATTGAATGAGAGAACTTTAAAATGCCTCCGTGATGTCATCTGTAGTCAGGTATTCTGGTCAAAATGCCAAGCAGAGATTACTTCCCTTAACAATTTCGCCTTGGGCAGGCGCTTGAAAATGAGGAAGCTTTGAAAATTCTACATCCGGATGTAGAATTTTCAAAGCTTCCTCATTTTCATGCGCCTGCCCAAGGCGAAATTGTTAAGGGAAGTAAAGACTGCTTGGCATTTTGACCAGAATACCTGACTACAGATGACATCACGGAGGCATTTAAAAGCTCTCTCAGTCAATGATCAGAGAGAGCATTTTCTCTGGTTAAAATTACAAATAGAGTGCAATGAACAAATTTTCTGGTGGGAGAGCTTAAATTCAGATTCAGGTGGCCGGCGCTATATGTAGTATTTTGCGCTTGCCATGATGGAGAGAATGAAGTTTGTCATTCATTATTCCAGCCAAGCAATTTTCGGTAGAAGGTAATTGGCTTTCATGAAAGGGAAGAGAGATTCTCATTGAAATTGATTCGCAGAATGCCACATAATAAACATGTAGAGAGCACTCATGTGTTAAAATTTACGTAGGAATGATTTAGTGGGTCTTTCTTTGTTTGGTAGTGATGAAATCAAATGTAGACAAAGAGTGATATGTTGTTTATTCCTTTTTGTTGATTGGCAAATGAGCTAACTTCAATCACAGACAGGAATCAAGTAAACAGTTGGTTTCTTAGTGATTGCTTAAGTGTTGATCGTGGTTCATGGAAAGGAATCAAAGACCACTAAATTTACACGGTCTTTTTCAGAGTGTTCTGCCAGAAAGCTACAGCGCTAAACCTTCTTTCAAAACTCCTGATTCCCTTTGGCTAAACAATGCCCAGTTCATTCTGATTTTGTGAAAAATTTCGACCAAAAACTTTCTAAAAATAAAGGATGACAAGCTTAAAGGTTCATTACCTTTGACACTGCAATATGCTTTCGCGAAATTATGTATGTCGGCCAAATCACCAGGATAAATTTCCAAGAAACACGACTCCTAAACTATGTGCGTACTGATAATAGTCATAATAGTGATAAAATTGAACATAACCTCTCATGTCCCTCACGCACAGAGCTCACGCAGCCAACCACAGCCAACCCTTCCCCTTCCCCATCCCCAACACCGCACGGCTTCGTTCCGGTTTTTGTTGTTTTTCGGTGCCACCATAAACCGTTGCATTGTTTATTTCGGCGGGCATTCTCAAAACTTGAATTGGCAAACCTCAGTTTAGTTCTGCATAAGTTCTGTTATCGCTTTTTCTAATCATTTTATCAATTTGATTGAGCCTGATATTTCTACAATTAATTTCTCCAGTTCACTATTGTTTCCGTAAGTATTTCTATTTCAAAGGAATCACTCTTCCTCACAACATAACCTACTTGAGAAGCAATGAGGACCTTGATAAATTTTTGATTTTGCCATTCTGCGGAACGATTTGATCCTTTACATAGTTTTAAGTTATCCTTTCATTGGTCACGCGTCGACGGCGCAGAGTATGACATGAGACATTTTTCAAAGCTTGGGACGGTACATTTTTCATGCCATTGAGTGTACCAGCTTTGTAGATGTCCAACTCTCGCTGTTCAACAAATTTTGTAAGAACAGTTACTATAACGCTCTCACCGTAACTTTGTCGCTAACATTACTCATAGATTAACTTTGCAGTCAGTAGCCACTGTTTTCCAACATCATTGAACTATGAAGACTAATAAAAGATGACTGAAGCAGGGAGTCTCTTCATTACATAATTCCATTCTTAACAAATTCGAACACAAAAAAAGAACCAGCACTAAATTATAACTGCAACTCATTGCTGTACTCTTCCTTGGGAGGCAAGCATCTTATCCATGCACCATCATGAGGAGAAAGGATTGTGAATGAGTTGAACGCTTATCACTATTGAGGGATCAGTTGAAAAAGTCAATATTTTTTTTTTGTCGGTATTGAAATCAGGCATCCCTTTTCCCTCCTTCAGAATAGAATCTGCCTGTGCTTAGCTCCTTTCTGTGATGAAATATGAATAGAGTAATTGAAATAAGTTGTGGCATCATGCTCGATTGTGAGTTTTTTATTTTGGAATACACAAGTTGCATCCTTTTCTATCTTCTTTTATCAACTTTTTTCTTTCATCTTCTAACTTTTTTTATCATCTTTGTTTTTTAGTTAACACTTGAATTCTTTACTTTTCAGTTTGTGTGCAACTACTGATGGCTGGAAGAGGGAAAAAAGCAACCGGCTATGCATTCCCTGATCCTTTGCCAGCTGGTGAAGTGCTTAAAGACTTCACGAAAAGAGAATGGAAAATTGGCGCTTCGATCGGGAAAGGTGGTTTTGGAGAGATTTATGATGGTTAGTATAAATTTTCAGTTGATTTGAACAAATGTTCCTACTTTTAATTGTAACAGGATTGCGCCTAGCTGTAAAGTCATGATCATTTAGGCCCAATTCAACGGATATGGATTTCTGGAGGAGGTCAGCAGTAATTTCTGGAATAGATTGGGTCTGTAATGATAGAGTGTTTCAGATTATAGAAATCAAAAACAACAATGTATTCAACACTATGACCAAACAGCTAGTCTGGTCTGGTACAGGCATGACAGAAGAAATTCTGCCAAAGAAGATGCTTGATTGGGTTCCGCCTTTGAGAAGACGAAGGGGACGCCCAGTAAAAGGATGGCGACAGAAAGTTTTGCAAGAAATAAAGGAGTGCCAATTCCCTGAAGGGCTTTGGGAGGACAGCGACATTGGCGGCTAGATGTTGCAGATGGCCCGAAAAGGCTGTAAAAGTGGCTTTTATGTATGTATTCAACTTTCTCCAGTGTTTCACCACCATATGTCATTTTAACCCGTTTTCAAAGTAACATCTGTTTTTCCATCAATTCTTTGGTTCTAATGTTCATATTTATCCTCACTTTGTTTCAGTAACCTGTAACAATGACCCCAGCAAGAGTAAGAAGCCTTTATACATTGCAAAGATTGTAAGTGCTTTTCATATTTTTCTTCATTTTACTCAATGGGAACTTCTTAATTTTATTTTACAAACTAATCTCTTCGTCTAAGAAAATGGTCTCGTTTTTTAATGGTCAATCCACATTCTGGTTCAGTATCATCACCTAGCAAGAGCTAATTATATCTAATAGCTTGTTAAAAAGTTAAATTGTTAAAAGTAAAAAGTTAATTGTTAAAAAGTTAACTAGTGTTCTCTGTCTGCAACTTTTTTGGAGCAGTAAGTTTTTGAAGACATATGACAAATGAAGTCTTGTTTGTCAATATCAGACTTTGCCCTTTTCAATTTTAAAAAGTAATCTTGAAAATTTTTGCCTGCGCAAGCAGGCAATTAACAATATCAATGCCATTTTGGAGATTTTACATGGATATCCATCCATCAGTGATGGATCAAGTACTGTTTGTATAAATGTTTTGTTTGGTTTTATGATCGCCCAATAAGTAAGGTTACATTCCAGGTAAACATTGTCTAAATATGTAAGTGATCTGTGGACAGAAGTGTACTTAAATATACAGGGTGAGCGAAAAGTCCCCGACCCCCCCTCTAACTTTTGAACGAATTGAGCTAAGGAAATGAAACTTTGGGAATGTTCCTATCTCAAAGGGGACCATCTTTTGAGGGGGTCAAAATTTTGGTCCCCCCCTCAGGGGGGGACAGGGGCCCCCCCAACTTTTTTTTTTCAAGTAGCAACCCCTATCTTGTGATACCTCATTCAAAAGAGCATAAAAAATTAAGAATTTTGGCGCAAACCGCAGATCAATATCTCAATTTTTGACCGAGTTATGATAGGTCAAAGGTCAAATTTGACCTATTTTCAAAAAATCATAACTCCGGTTCAAATTATCGTAAAGAAAAAAAATAAAACGGGAAAATTTACCAAATTGTGTTCGCTTTTACGTAAAAATTGCAGAAATCACTTCGATTTAATTTTAAGGGGGGGCTCGGACCCCCAAATACGTCAATTCAAAGGTCATTCAATTTTCCTGCGAAATAAGCCAATTTCCACTGGATTTGCCTCCACATTATCTCAGTAAGGTCAAAATCAGTTCAACATTACGTTGGCAAGTCCCCAAATTTCGGGATAAGTTAAAAAAACGAAATTTAAACGGTCAAATTTAATCACCTTAAATTTCGTTTTTTTAACTTTTCCCGAAATTTGGGGACTTGCCAACGTAATGTTGAACTGATTTTGACCTTACTGAGATAATGTGGAGGCAAATCCAGTGGAAATTGGCTTATTTCGCAGGAAAATTGAATGACCTTTGAATTGACGTATTTGGGGGTCCGAGCCCCCCCTTAAAATTAAATCGAAGTGATTTCTGCAATTTTTACGTAAAAGCGAACACAATTTGGTAAATTTTCCCGTTTTATTTTTTTTCTTTACGATAATTTGAACCGGAGTTATGATTTTTTGAAAATAGGTCAAATTTGACCTTTGACCTATCATAACTCGGTCAAAAATTGAGATATTGATCTGCGGTTTGCGCCAAAATTCTTAATTTTTTATGCTCTTTTGAATGAGGTATCACAAGATAGGGGTTGCTACTTGAAAAAAAAAAGTTGGGGGGGCCCCTGTCCCCCCCTGAGGGGGGGACCAAAATTTTGACCCCCTCAAAAGATGGTCCCCTTTGAGATAGGAACATTCCCAAGGTTTCATTTCCTTAGCTCAATTCGTTCAAAAGTTAGAGGGGGGGTCGGGGACTTTTCGCTCACCCTGTATAGTTCATGGTTCAATATTATTCCATTTTTCTCTAAAACCACCCTATGGCTGTTGTCAAGAAGTACAACATGGAATAATCAATTTTTGTATCACGGTGTGTTTCCTTTTTCTCTAAATTTTGCACCGTGACTAATTTATCATGTTGATGCAGAGACTTAGGATTTGTCATTTGTTGATTTTTATGGGTTTTTTTGTATGTTTGTAGGAACCAAAAGAAAATGGTCCGCTGTTTGTTGAGAAAACCTTCTACATGAAAGTTGCCAAAGAAGAAACAAGTAAAGTCCCTTTAAATTTTTTGGTTAAATTAAGTTTAAATTGAGATAAGTTCAACTCTGTTATCATTGTCATTTACACTCAATGGAACAGAAACTTCTCGAATGTGCAACCATTGAAACATATGGAATCAAGGATGGCTGTAGGGGCGACAAAAGGTTATGGAAATGAGAAAGTCTGTTCATGTCAGTCTAGCAGATATTCGTTGGTTTCTCACCAACAATAATGGGGAAAAGGAAAAATTGAAAAAAGGTTTTAAAATAGGAAGTTATGCTCACTCCCAACATTGCTCTATATTAGTCAATGTACTTGTGTGGTGTTCATTGGGCCACTAGACTTTAACTAGAAAAGGAAAGGTTTTCTTTTCAAAATTTTAGTTATAAGACGATTCACACAACTAGAAGTTTGGATATCAGGTCCTGAACGATATATTATCAAGTATTTTTAACACAGATCAAATGGAAGTTAGATTATACAAATAATGTCATTTGTATTTTTGCCATCAAGCCAATGTTAATCGTAACAACTGATATTCTGTTTAGGAGTTGCTTTCCATCATCAAACCCATTCTACAGAGCAAATAAAGATGCCTTGTCAATTTTTTTCTGACACTTCCGTCATTTTCCCCAACATTTCTTGGTATTCCCTAAATTTTAAATATTCCTTGACATTTCCAAGTATTCTCTGACTGAGGTTAAACCCGTTTCAACTTTGGCCATTGCTTTGCTTCTTTATTTTCATTAATCTCACTGGCTTTTTCGGTTATTTTATGATTTTTTCAGTTGAGAAGTGGATGAAAGATAAAAAGCTGAAGTATCTAGGAGTTCCAAAATACATAAGCTCAGGCACCCACGAGTACAAAGCTACTAAATACAGGTTTCTGATCACAGAAAAATTTGGAGAAGACTTATATAAAATATTTTTAGCACATAAGAAGTCCATTCCTCTACCAACAGTGCTTCAGATCTCAATACAGTTGGTAAGTATAATTCAGTATTTTTCTATTTGTTCTGTCCATTTGTTCAGTTGCAGCAATAGGTACTTATGCATTGATTGAAAATCAATAAAACTGAACTTTAAGCCAAATTAAAAAATTATGTACATCCATGAAAGTCGCTTCCAGAACGCTCTTGAGCGTTCTACAAGGCCCGAACGCCACATGAGCTTATCTTCCCAGAGGTTATTGGGCAATATCTCTTCGTCAACCCCCTTATGGGATGTCTCTGTCACCATCTCCAAGGTGATACCCAATCCAAAACTTGTTTGGGCAACTTCTCCTCCAAAATTCTTTGCACATGTCCATACCACTTCAACTGCATGGACATGATGTCGTGCACCATATCACTTTTAACCTTCATCATCTGGCAAATTCTTTCACAGACACGGTCCCGTCTCGAGATCCTGGCAGATAAACAATTAAATTTTTCTTTTCAAATGACCCGACAGGCAACAGAGGTACCTCTAAGTTCTGACATTTCGAGCCTGAATTTGCTCACAAATGTTGCATGCTTTGATGGAATCGAAAGTTTTTCAACCACCAAGTAAAGAAAAAACTGTTCATGGCGTGCAGTTCTTTGGTGCTACCTTTGAACACAGGGCCGAACTCTTGAACACCGAATATGAAATCATACCCCCAAATTTTGAAATGGCTCAGCAGATTTTAAATGCTATCTAACTTTGAGGTTGAATTTCGTTTTTGACTCCACCGACAAAAAAGGAGAATTTTCAATATCTAGTAACATTTTATAAAAAAAGATGGAATCCACTAAGTAAGATGAGCTTAAGAATACTCTTAAGTTTTAAATCAGCTAATCATCAAAAGAAATTTATCCCAATTGAATGATTAGGTACATAGATCTACTAAGAAAAAAATATGTAAAATGAGATGTAACACTGCACGACGTAACTGTGTAATTTAATGTTGTTGAAGACGTATCGGTATGTCTTGTCACTCTAAAATTTATTTTCCTCTAAAATTTATTTTCCTCCCGCCTGCTTCAAAGAAAATAAAACAAAACAAAAATTATCCTGAACTCTGCTCATTATGCGCTTTTATCAATGCATTTTTCCCATGCATACCTTGTCTCGATTAAGTAAGTAAAGAAATAAAACCAAAAAAAAACTCATTAGATTTTGTAATACAGTTTTTGAAGTGTTTAGGACACAAGCCCATCATCACACAGATGATAGGTCAATGCTCGAAACTTGTCTGACTTTTTTTTTACGAAATTCGACGTATAAGTCAGTTTTTGTTTTTATTTATTACCTTTTTCAGGTAACAATTGTTGCTCCCAAACCTGATAAATTCTCCAATTTTCATATCTGTTTTTTTTTCTCAGATCAATATCTTAGAGTACCTGCATGCAAATGGATTTGTCCATCGAGATATTAAGGGCACAAACATCTTGGTCGGACAGCCCAACTGCGTTGAAAATCAAGTGTTCCTGATCGATTACGGTTTGGCAACTCGCTTAGTGACAGAAAAAGAGTTCAAGCCAAACCCCAAGCAAGCGCACGATGGCACCATTGAATATTGCAGCAGAGATGCACATCATGGTGGTGAGCAGCACATCTTCATACTACTACTAACAAGTCACTCTTATAGCACTTTTGTGCGCTCTGCGACACCCAACCACCGATCTTGCCAGAGCTTCTTCGGCAGATCGCATCTCCTCATTTTCAGCCTTATTCCCTCAATTTGGCAGGGCGTCCTCTACGTCTACATGAGCACATCTTCATAACTTCCATAAAGCCAAAATCACACGCTGAATATGGGAGTCATTGGTTGTTGCTCAACATTTGAAATTTTGTAATTTTGAGTCTTTGTCATCCGCATTTGTATCAAATGTATTCAAATAATTTAGACAAACTGATAACTGCTGAATGCCAATCCTCATTTGAGCATCTTGCGTAGAATTCAGGGCACCACTCATCAATGGATCGATGACTCCCTCGTTCAGCTCCCCATATTCAGCATGTGATTCCGTTATAACATAGTAGTATAGCCTCATGAACATCATGTCAAGATTAATATGCAAGTAACTCATTTCTCTACACTGTAGCACCATTATCTCAATTTTGAGATTTTCAGTGCAAAGGTGCCTTCTGGCAGATGGTTAAAAATAATTTAAAACAATACTTTGAAGAAATAAAAACAAGAGAAGTCACAGAACACTATCGTATTTAATTCGAGCTTATCAGGAATGTACCAGGGTCATTCCATATAGAACCTACCAGCCATGCAACCGCCCGACTCGGATTTTGATGATAAATTTTTTTCTTGATCAGACCACCAAATAATGAACTTCTGCAAAATATTAGGTCTCAAATCGAAAAACTCACTGAGATATGAATTTTTGAAGTTTTGAGAATTTTCAAGAAAGTGACGTTTCGAACTTCCGAGAAAGAGAGGGTCATTTTCCCCAATAAAATTCACACCAGGCCCATTTTTCGTCGGATTGAAGTGAAAATTTGACACAATGTCAATGAAAGTATGTAGATTTGAGAAAAAAATGCATGAAATGTTCAACTTCACTCATTGAAGTTCTGTGGTTGATTGTTCGTTGTGATTTTGTCTGATTTTGGCGACAAAACCTTCCCCTCTTCAAATGCCCATAACTTTTGAGCTGCAAGTTATTTTTTGCTCCAATTTTTTTTAAAATGCTCCTAAGAGTATTAGGAAGACGCCTAAAGAACAATTCTGATGGCGTTTTGGGCTTTAGTATCTTTTTTTTTCACTTTTGTCCAAAAAAGGCCTAAAAAACTGAAAATAACACCAAAATTATTCCGATGGTCGACCATTACCCTGAAAAGTCAACTCAAAAATCGCTCATTTTTTGCCTGAATGGTCCTTAGTGTGTGTACAATATGTTTGAAAAATAAAATCAATGGTATTTTGGGTTTAAATATCTTTTACTTCGAGTTTTTGCCCAAAAAAGGCCCGCAAAACTGAAAAACACTGAAATTACGCCAATTATCGGCCCTAACTTTGGAGTAGCAACTCAAAAATCGGTCAGTTTTTGCCTGAATGGTCCTTACTGTGTGTAAAATATGTTTGAAAAATAAAATCAATGGTATTTTGGGTTTAAATATCTTTTACATAGAGTTTTTGCCCAAAAAAGGCCCGCAAAACTGAAAAACGCTGAAATTACGCCAATTATTGGCCCTAACTTTGGAGTAGCAACTCAAAAATTGCTCACATTTTTACCTACTGAATGGTTCCAACTGCATATGAAATGTGTCTGGGGAATAAAAGTGAAGGTATGTTGGGTTTCCATAACCCTTCTCCCAACAATTTTACTCAAGAGAGGCTCGCTTAAATGAAAAAAGCGCTAGGAAAATCTCATTAACCGACCATTGCATTAAAAAAGCAATTAATTGGGGGCCCAGATTTTTCACCAAAAGACTCTTGTTGTATGGGAAGCACACTAACTTGACAAGTGAATATAGTGTATTCTTGGTTGTAGTAGTTTTCCCTTTCACTCCGATCTTTAAGATCGGTATTTAAAGGAGGGAAATAAAACTGCAGGTATCCCTTAACTGGTGGGCATCCCTATTCACATTTAAATGTAAATTACTGACTCCTGGATGACATCATTATGAGGTTAATAACTTACAAAT